AATCTTTGACAACAAACGGGGCAGCTCTGCATTGAACCTTGTCCAACATCTGGATGTAGTTGGCTTGGTAAGGATCAGTAACTGCAGCGGCGTATTCAAGATGAGGTCTGACCAACGCCAAGTATACTTTCGACTTTAGACTTACACTTTACTGTCTCTGCTACATTGATGAATGTTTCTTTGAAGTAAACCGAGAACCTTATTGGCTTTATTTGTTTTTGACGATAGTTGGCTTCCCAAGTGAGATTATCAGAAATGACCACTCCCAGGCATTGATGATCCTGAACTCTGGCCAAGGTTTCACCCATCATAGAGTAGTCAAACTGGACTTTTTTCTTCTTGAGACTCACAGTCATGGTGTTCCACTTTTTTGGATTAAAGGTCATCTGCCATTTTGCAGCCCAGCCACACACTTGATCAAGGTCTAATTCCCAAGCTTGATGCAGTCTTCCTGGTTGCTGATGACATTGTAAGGATTGCATCGTCTGCACAAAGGCGGATGTTGAATGACAGGTTCTCCACGATGTCGTTGATGTAAACATGTATAAGAAACAACAACGGACTAAGCACTACACCTTGGGGCACTCCAGATACAACCTTCTGCCACTGAGAAGCTTCTCTATTAAGCACAACTCGTTGTTGTCTCTGGGTTAGAAAGGTGCCGATCCAGTTGATGATGTTGCTTCTACCGGAGAAGTGTAGCTTGGATTTTAGTCGATCATGGGGAACACAGTGAAATGCTTTTGTGAAATCAAGTATGGCTGTATGAATCAATTCCTTCCACCCAATTGTTGACTACTTGGATAAGTTGCGTAGCACAGGAATGGCCTTATCGAAATCCATGTTGTTATGATGTGAGGATATCATGTTTATCAAGGTGCTTTCTAATCTGGGAGTGAAGGATGTGCTCTATGAGTTTACACATAATAGCTGTCAGCGAAACAGGACGATAGTTCCTGGGTTGTCTCTAGCATCTTTTTTGTAAAGGCGGTGACATTTGCAAGCAACCATCCTTCAGGAAGATTCCCGGTGTCAAGGGACTGCTGGAACAAAGCAGTAAGGACGGGAGCCATCTCACTGGCAGTTTCCTTCATCAAGGCCTGTTGCCTTGCCAACTTGAAGATTATTCAGAAGTTTTAAGACTCCCTCAGGTCTAAAAGTAATCTCTTTCATGGCTGAGTAGAAGCTTGGTAAAAAAAAAGGATGAGGGAAGTATCCTTGTCTGTGAGGACAGAGTTGAAATGATCTGCTATTGCTCTTTGCTCTCTCCTGGTCTGTCAGTTTGGTTTCTTTCCTCAGAGTTGGGATGGTTGAGTTGTCAACACGATTACTCCTAACATACTTCCAAAATGCTCTTGGATTGGTCAATTGATCATCAATGCTTGCTTTGGCGTATTCGGCCTCAGCTTTCTTGATGATTTGCTTGATTTTCTTTTGCATCTCCCAAAACTTCTCCAAGTCTTCAGGAAGTTGAGATCTTTTTTGCCTTCTTGTGCAGTCTGATATGCCTCCTAATCTCCTTTCTGATAGATATAGTTACCCACAGCAGACTAGTTGATGGGCGAGATGTTTTACTTGGAATGTTGTTGTTACAGATGTGATGAGGTAGAGGTCTCCTGGGCGGGTCTTGTTGCAGTCAAAATGCAGGTAGACTAGTTTACCAACTTCAATGTGCGATGTTGGTGCTATATGGGTCGGAGGGGTGCTTTTGACTGCTCACTGTGGGGATGCTTGGAGAGTCGCTGTTAGTGTTGGGTTAGGACCATTTTGGAGGTCAGAGAACGGGACCTGCTGATTGGTAAATTGGTCCCGCTGATGTCATATTTCTCAGGTGGATAGGCTTCGCATGCAAATGCGGCCATTATAGTTGGCAGTTCTGACAGAGAGGGTCAACGGTGTAATTGAATCACCCAAAGGGTTCGATCCAGATGTAGAAGTTCTCCTAGTTCCTGTACAGCTTTTTCATGCTACGGGATTCTTGTTTTGGTTTTCGATGCGACCAATTTCGATGCACATGTGTTGTTGTTTTAGAAGCTCATCACAGGCTAGGCGTGTGAATCCTGGGGTGGGGGTCTTTAGGAATCACTGCAGACAGGCCATCGGACGGAGCTTGATGCAGAGTTGAATCGGTGCATCACGGAGCGCGTCATGGAGATCATTGTCCAGAAGACATGATGTGGTGAAAGAAGTGGTGGTTTCGCAGATGACAAGGGTTAGTTGGTGGTTGCGTTTGATGACGTCGGCAGAGTAGGAAATGCCCACTGCGTCAGGTGGGTCTCTGCTGACTGTTTGATCAGTGTGCATGTATACGGGGTGGATTGCAGTGAATTATGAAGCGCAGTGGTGACAACTCGATGTTACATGTACTTGGTCGATTCCTTTGTCCATGTCAAGGGCGTAAAAGTACCTGTTCACCACGATGTGGAGTTGGTGGTGAGTTGGGTGGTTAAGCTGATATGAAGTGCTGTGAGGAGGCCATTGAGCACTTGGCAGGGGACGTCTGATGCATTTGCGAGTTGGTGAGAGGGGTTGGTCATGGCGGACAATCAGCAAGCCATCCTTTGCAACAGAGGCCACATGGAGATAGCGCTTGATGTCTTTGATGTTGGTCAGTTTTTTTTATGGTTCCTTGCACAAGGTGGGCATGTGTGCGCTGCAGGTCTGGGCATTCGGACTGGATTTCTGACCACACTGTTCTATTTGGGATCGAGTTTGGTGTGGAGAGCACATCCTCGGCTGATGTGCATAGAATGACAGAATCTACCGCATTGCTTCACAAAATTGCAGATTTGGCAGGTGGGGTCGCTGCACATGCAGTTAGGAGCATTGCAGCTTGCGAAGTCAGACAGGAAGTTGCCCGATCCAGCAACATGTCGCACTGATTCTTACAAGAAAGTAGAAATGCAGGGGCTGGCTGAAAACTCTCCTCGACACAGTTTTTCATTGGCTTGTACACAGGGTTTACTGTCTGTGAGAATGCATTCGTGGTGTTTTGACTGGATGATGAATGGGCTAAAATGCTTGGTTGCTGCAGATATGGAGAGTGCTGCAACTTCGCATGGTAACCAAGTGGGTTGGCGACCTTGCAATGTCGTGCTGAAGAAACCTGCCAAGAGGGGCTTGGTTATTAGCAGGTAATGTACAGTGTTGCACTGATGCTGTGTTTTTTTTTGCTGATTCATCAGTCACAATCAACAGCTGATCATCTGGGTGTGGCAGAGCGATTGTTTTTGTTGAGGTTAATGCCTTTCGAGCCATTTGGAAGGTGGCTCTCATGCAATTTATCAGACCATATGTGAATTTTTGTTAGTCTGTTGTCGAGCCACTGCATCATCCAATGGAGACAGTAAGCTGCATGGAGCAACCTGGGATCACTCACGAGAATACTTTGAGGGCAAAGATGAATTATCTCAAGCCACCAACCTTTTCTGGGACGGAGCATGTTGACAGGGTGGCTGCTCGATGAGGGCTGGCTCAGAGGGTGCTTTTGGACCAGATCCAGCCAAAAATGGTTGTGCTCTCTTGGCAGATGACCGCGGACCGATGACCACTGCGGAAATGTGCATGTTGTTTTTGTACAGGGCACGCATGACTGATTTGCAGTTGTTGAGTAGTTCATCATGGGTGTTGCCTCCAGAATACAGAACGTCAGCAAGTTTTGCTACTACACGTACTCCCTTTTCCAGGTCTTCAGGGATATGGCACATTAGTTCTTCCAAATGTCATCTCAGAGCCAGGCATTCCCATATTGGTGTACACACAGATGCAGCAAAAGCATTTCCCCACTCCTCATTATTTCATCAAGCGAGATGGGTGATCTGGACGAATGCACTTGTGAGGTCAGTGGCAATGAGGCATTTCCACTGGGCGATCTTGCCCAAAGTAGAGTTGACATCAGGCATGATGGTTGGGGCTTGCTGTTTCTGCCTACATCGGAGAATGCATTGACAAGGGGAAAAAAAGCGGCTGGGCTTTTTGATCAGGATTAATTAGGTATTCAACGTTAATCTCAAATCCTCTGGACATGTTTCTCTAGTTCGTCATACTTATGTTGGAGCTCACGAAGCTTGTCCTGGGCATATTGTGGAAGGCGGCCTTTGCTTTGCAGGGTTGAACTGGATCCATGATTACAACAGCCTCAAAGGGGCCAGCAGCACCATTGTAGCCTGGGAACGTTCGGTTGAAAACCTCCTCATATTCTTCATGAAGGGCACAGGAATTGGCCTGCATGTCAGAGGGCAAAAATAGGGTGCAGAGGTAACGTTTATTTTAGGTATGCATGTTCCCAGTTTTCAAAGGAGTTGACTGATGACAGTTACATTTTTTTCCCAAACACCTTGTTTCGGTGCTTGGTGTGAACTGGTCATTTCGATTTGAAGTGTAAAGTCACTCTCGTTGGGGAAAAAAATTGAAAAGCCAGTGTTATTACGCATCAATGGCTAGCCGCTCACCTGCTTGTGATTGATGCATACGATCTGAAGTCCAAAGATCATGGCGCTTAAATTTGGCAGTTTTCAGTGATAACCTAGCTGTTGCATTATGAGCTGAAAAGTCATAGAAATGTTTCTGACGCTGCCACCATGCCACAAAATAGATAATAGGGGACGCAACACGAATGAATCACAGCCAAACATAAGACTCATTGCAGGAGAGGAACAACTCTTTGTTATGGTAACACATAAGGTTAAAACAAGATGGCTGCGTCCATGGCAAAACAGTAACAGGATGCCAGAGGGCGATAAAACCAACAGGCGCAAGTCAATTCTGTTTGACTCACACTGTATGGGATCCATGCGCCAACGAAAGAGGGTGCCCTTTTACCTAGCAACGACGTCCCATGGGCGGGACATTTTGCTGCTTTACACGTACTGTTCCTTGTGTGTGACGCACGTACACCAGGGGATTCAGTTGTGCTATGTACATGCAGTGCTAGTGGTGACTGCGTCGCGTCAAAATTGCAGTCAGGCAAGATGGCGTCGGTCGGTCACCCCCAACTTTCTTTGCCGGTGAGGGAGTACTTGTGAACGGAGCGGATACTGCCCTGTGATAACTGAAGAACTGTTGCCCACCACATGGAGGATCAGTAAAGTTCAGTACATGGAGTTCCTGTCAGCCATCATTAGCTTACCATGAGTGAAGACAAAGATGCTCGGAAAAAGGAACAGACAATAAAAAGGAAATTAATTCATGTTATCTACAACCATTCGGCCAAAAAAAGTAATGGTTCTGCTTCCGGTTACCCTACCTACCCTATTTTGGAAGCCCCTACCCTACTATAGGGGGGGAGGGGGAATGAGGAAACAAACCTGAAAATCATGAATTACTACCTTTTATCCTTGACTACACTCAGACACCTCCATAAAATCGTACACAAAAAATTGCCCCCCCCCCAAAAAAATAAATCCCTACCTACCTACCCTATTTTCAAATGCCATGTAATCGGAAGCAGAATGCTATTTTATTTTGGGGGCCTTATTAACTAACACAACACCTGTCAAGTCATGAGCTATTGAGCGCTGGACACATGAAGGTATAGATTTTCAAAATTTCTGTAAAAAGTGCCAAAGAAATGCTCTAAATGAATGAAAGCAGAGCAAATTGAGTAAGCTTCATTCATAATACATTTTATGGAATTCAGTTAATCAAAATGTACAATACAACCAATTCTTGAAGACACAAGCTAACTGTATCGATATTCCAATTTTATTGCCAAATGAAAGCATGCAATTTTAGTGTTATCAATGGGCCTGTAGTTTGTAAAGTCGGATCTTAATGATATAATCAATTTAAAAATTGGTCCAAATAAACTAATCTCAAATTTTAAGAAAAGTTTTAGTAAATGTTTGTTATTAAACTGACCTGAATGTCATCTTCATTGTTAAAATGTACCATCATCTGAAAGAAAAAAAATATTATTTAAATATTATACACATTTTCACAATGACACCCCAAGAAAGTTATGAAGTTAAAAGGAGGGAAAGATCCCCATATCTGGCCGTCACTAATTTTTCCCTTCAGTGTCCTATAAGCCATCAGAAAGTGATATGTCAAAAAAAAATAAAAAATACTTAACTATTTACTCGAAAAACACATTTTTAGACCAGTCTGTTTGTGCACAGGCATGACAGAGTGACAAGTGGTCATGGCCAGATACAGACTGGGACCTTAAGTGCTCAAAACGATGCAAAAAAAGATCAGGCCAACTTTACTCACTCTTTAACCAGCAAATTTCTCCAAATCTGTTACTGGGTAAAATAATAGTTTCTCAGTATTTCACCAACCAAGTTTGAAAACTCAATTCCATTTTTAAAGGAGAGTTTTCTTCAATATTTGGCAGTAGCTTGCACAAGAGAAGGAAGTCAAGTGATTTCAAAATGAGGCTAAAGACTAGACTTCTACATGTCCATCCATGGTCCAACTGTTTGACAAGACTGGCTTCTTCATTCATTGTCATTAGTCTGGTGCCTGACTAAGGGGAAATGTGCAGAAATAGTGGTATGGTACCCGACATCCTATATATTTCTTTTGGCACAGTCAGCTGACAGTTGATTAATGCAGTACTGAAGAGTTGTTGGACTGGTTGTTTCATGTGCCAGTCTATTTTCTTGTATTGCATGTTTTCAGTACCTTAAGTTTTGGGACTCTCATACACAGTATTGAGAGTCCCAAATTTTCGGACTAGGCCAGATATGGGAATCTTTCCCCCCCAAAAAAGACAGAATTCCGTGGACATTACTAATTTTTCCCTGCAGTAACTAGTATCAGCCGTCAGAATGCGATTACACGTCCTAAAAAGGACCAACAATTTAAGGAAAGGAAAAGGAAAAATACTGAAGCATTTACTGTGAAAACACCTGGAATTTTTCAGACCGGTTTGGTACTTAAACTCCCCATCAACCCCCCCCCCCCCAAAAAAAATGGCAACTTATCAATAAAACTAGTGTTGGACCTACTCACATTGAAGTAGGCTAACTGCTGATTTTGTGGAGGTATGCAACACCAAATATCACATCAGCAAAACCACGGAGCGAGAAAAAACAGACAGCATGCAAAACATACCTCGCCCAGCTGACATGGTTTGGTTCCATCCACACGACCGCCATAATCCCAATTTTTGCAGAGGTCCAAAAACATCATTCAGAGTCCGTTGATGCAGAAATTAGTGGCTAAAATACTTCTTTGATAGCTCAAAAATGACATGAGATCGGTTGTACATAAGGATGCATGTGTTAAAAAGAGAAATTTTCGGCTGAAAAACGGCTATCCCGCAAACGAAACCACAAACGAAGACGACAGTGGAAAACGCAATGTGCGCGCGCAAAATTTGAAAAGGAGGCCATAGCACATTTCGCTCGTAACCCCGCCCTGCAAACAGGACCGTGGCCTGTGACGTAATACAGCGCTGAAACCACAGATGTAGAATAAAACAATTTTGTCAAGTATTTAATTGATTTTCTTCTCTTTTATTTTTGACAGGTAACATTGTGTAGTTACATTTTTATTGGACAGGGGGTTCTTTTTTGTCAATTTTTTTTGGGGACCAACCGACCACAGGGCAGAGAGATTATGTAAAGCTCTGTTGCAAGAGCTTAAAAACCTGCCTTACTTAAGTTCAATTTATATTTTAACAAAAACAACACACTCGTTGTGGCGACAATAATTTTAAAAAATACAGGTGGAATATATTGAAATTTTGTTTTGTAAGTGGCCGTGATCTCTATATTTAAAAAAAAACATGAAACACTAAATTTAATACAACTAAATTAATAGAGTGAGATCGGCGCGAAATAAATAAATCCGAATTACAGTCATTTTTGATTAAACAAAAACAACATGCTCATTGTAGCGATCTTATTGCTTTAACCAAATTAAGAAAATGCTTGAAGTAATGGTGTACCCAAGAGACAGGCGGGGTGGGATTGGATTAAGAGGCACCCCCCCCCCCCCCCCCCCCCCCCCCCCGCCAACAAATTGGGGAGGGAAAAAGACGAGGGTAAATACTAAGTTTATCCACTGAATTGTTCCGATGTGTATCATTACGAGATTTAGTTTCATGAGAAACCGTCAAACAGAAATAATATGACCGGAACAAAAGTGTTTTAAATGCGAAAAAGACCATCCGAAAGATGGACACATAACAAATAATGGACAAATAACACACTCGTTGTTTTGGGCAATAACCCGAGAAATACCAGCTTTGTTAAGTTGAAATGTTGCTCCGTTCAGTGATCGATGTGAAAAACTCCCAAAGTGGAGTTGAGAACGAAAACATGCGTTATCCTATGAAAACCCAGTAGAAAAAGAATTTAAAAAAATAAAGAATAACAAAAACCAAGGAAAAAACAAAAACAAAAAAACAAAGCTGTCTCGGTGTGAAGAACGAAACAGCTAAAAAAGGAATCATTACACACAAATATTCACTTGAAGTGGGGCAGATTTAATGGTGGTGAATTCAATGAATGAAAGGCACATTTTTCAAACTCCCCTTACCAAACTAACTGTACAGTTTATTCTGATTGGCCAAATCCTTCCCTATTACTCATTTTTTTCCCCACTAATAGTGCAACTAATTCTATACAAACAACACAAGGTCAAAGGTTATTTCAAGGCATAGCACTTGATAAGAATTTAACCAAAAACTTGGTTCAACAATTAAAAGTCATTGATTTTTTTTTAAGAATACAATTTGACAATAAAATGGCTGTATGATCTGTCAGTAGTATAAAAAACATAATTCACTCCCGAATTTTCACAGATTAACACCTCTCAATGAGAAGCTATTGGTTGTTTGTACACCTCGTGCATATTCATGAACCAAATGTGCTTCTTTCATTGGTCGATGCTCCTAGACTCCCTACGGTGCAGCAGCTGCAATGGCAAGAATGGTTATTGGTGGTACCATATTAAACCCTTACCGTGCAAAGTTTGTCCACTTTTGAGAATGAAACTTGGTATTAGTGTACTAAAAAATGAATAACATCTTTTGGGGGAAAAATGTGAAATTAACCGGTTCCTTTGTGTTGGTTTTGCACAATTCCCCTTCAAACCATTGTGTATTTGTATAAAACAATCAAGTGGAACTTGGAATTGCTATCCAATAGATTTATAAATTTTAAATGTTATCAAGAATTATCAAGAACTGTTGTCAGTATTAGGTTTTTTGGCCTTCACCAACAATTTATAAACGCTGTATACTCAAGGGCAGCGAATCTTTTTTCCCAAATAACATGTTTCTCCCATCTTCTGATTGGTCCATCGCATGCATATCTAATGCTCACTGGGATTCGAACTTGGATCACCTGATTAGAAGTCAAGACTACTTCCAACCAGTCCACGAATCAGCTGCCAATCTTCAGTGATTGAAACACCATTATTCCCTGCTATATAACTTTAATATCTCAAAAGCCTTTGACATCATGAATATGCATAACGCAGAGAGGGTGCCCTCTTTTATATTGTCGTATCTCGTTTGGGAAACAAAAATTCGCAGCCGGGCAAAAGATGTCCTGTACAACATTGTATACCATTGTGTTATTTCACTGAAGAATCAATAAAACCATAGAGGCTTGGGCGATTTCGGGCACTACAGTGAGAAATAGGCAGGGCGGTTTTGGGCGGTTTTGGGCGCTACAGTTAGCAGTAGGCAGTGCAGTTTCAGATGCCACATAGACTGAAGGGTTAAATACATGTAGTGAGTGCATAACTGCATGTGGAATAAACACAAACAAAACTTGGTGCCTACACAGTCATCGTATCTCTTTTCAAACACACCCTGTAAACTGAAGAAAAAACGCGAAAAGAATAAATGCAATAAGCAAAATAAATTATTACTAAGGGAAAATTAACCACAACAAAGCAAAAACAAACAGAAGAAAGCACCAGTGTTTTACGGTTTTGAATATGAACAAAAACATTGGCATTTTTTGTTTATAATTTTGCAGAAATGGCAACATTTTTGTCATGTGCAGATCATCTTGCACGCCGCATGTGTCACAAAGGCAGAGTTTCAGAGGTACAGATGCGCCTCAGGACAAATTAAGTGCAACGTGTTGACAAATTAAGTGCAACGTGTCGACAGAATGTCAATGTGCTTTCAAATATCAGAGTTACCGGCAAACAAAAAACAATGATACATAATAAATAACGGCCCCTCTCAATTCATATCTGGGACGAGTTCCGGACAAATTCTGGACATTGTATCGGGAATAAGTTGCAGGATTCTGAACAACTTCCCCGCAATCGTCCCGCAATGAAGTTATCGGTATCGGTGAGTCAAGCAGTTGCTGATGAAAAATTTCCCCGGAACATGTCTGGGACAAAAGCAGAGCTGCTTCTGGACGAAGTGAATGATTCTACCTGAACTTGTCTGGAACTCGTCCCAAATATGAATTGAGAAGGGCCCTATGATACAAGTGCTTATTTGTTCAGAAAAAAACTAGCATCAGTAAGTGCATTTCAGTCTTGGAGAAAAATTTACCACAAAAAGAATAAGTATTAAATATTTTTTTTTACATGTAAAGGTGCATAACATACCCTCTATTAACACATGTTTATTGTTAATTGTGATTCTTAAAACCCCCAAAATTGATTGACACCACTTCATCCTTAAAACATTCCCATAACCAAATGTATTTGCACTGCTAATGACTAGTTTTAGTTACGTGTAAGTCAAGTCTGTCACAAGCCAATATGGCCCATCAGGCAGACGTTTATCTCCGGTTTCCTTGGCATGAAATAACTGAGAATATTTCTATTCCCCCGGATGGGATGCCAGTCCATCGCAGGTTACTCCCCAGCTAATGCCGGTACCCATTTATACTCCTGGGTGGAGAGAGGCAAGTTGGGATAAAGAGGCTTGCCCACGGACAGAACACATGACCAGCAGCTGGATTTGAACCCCTGACCCTCTGATCATGAGTCACGAACCCTAACCACTAGGCCACACTGATTTCATCTACATACATGTAAATTGGCTCTGTTAAGATAACATGTACAAATGTAGCCCAGCACAACCCGTGTTTCTCACATACAAAAAGCAAATACTATCGCACACTCACTTTTATGATACAGTTCAACTTAAAGGGAAAATACAACATTTGCAAACATCAAAAACTAAAACTACCAAATCATTTTGAAATACCTTGCTGGACTGTTAGTGAATGACAGTGTAAAGCATCCTGTAAAATCATGGCACATGGTATACTGTCATTTTCAAGAAAAGTGGTATTTTTGTATCAATTTCCAACGCTGATTGGAAAAAACTGGCTTTTTCCCCAAATACTGGCCCCAGTTGACCATCGTACTTGTTTGCAATCGATTACACACCTATGAACGGGTACAAGCCAGCTAGACTGGTTCCCTGACCTTACAATTCCCCAATATTGCTAAACTGCTCTGTTTCTTCTTATATGGAGTCAAGGAACCAGACTACAGGAAAATGATTGTTTTTCTTGGTTTTTATAGCATTTTCGAACCCAAACCTCAAAAAAGTCAGTGTAACTGTATTTGCTATATATTTCCAACCCCCCAATTCCATCCATTTCTGAAAATTACAGCAAAAGCAAATGATGTATATTCCCTTTAAATTCTAGGGGTTTGGAATTCATGACAATCAGAACTTGAGTTATCGTCAAAATTATTTTTGAGTTTGTACAAAATGCCCCCATTCCAAACTTAACCCAAATAGTAGGCATCAAAATAACACATGAAAACTCTCCTATATATATTTCTCTTCTTTCAACACTATCGTGAAATTTCAAACAAACTTTCATTTTGTGTTCTATTTTTTAGGGGTTAACCAATGAGGTTTTGGAGGAAATCCCATCCAAAGATGATCAATGCAATTAAATATAATGCAGTGTACTGTGTACAAGTGGAACGTCGCTATACCGAACACTGCTATACCGAACATTTGGCTATACCGAACATTGTCCTTGGCTCATGATTTTTGTGTACAAAACGTACCAAACATTGTTGTTCAAAAAATGTCAGCAGAAGAGCGACAAGTGGTTATTATTTCCCCAAGGAATAGAAGGGGAAGCCACCGATTGCTGTAGGTAGTAAGCTCAAAACTGTGTAATTACATAATGCAATAGTCGGCACCGGCAGCTTAAAATTTATTACAAACAATTTCTGTGGATCCCGTGATGTTCGTTATAGCGGCGTTCCACTGTACTGTATGATCAATCAATCGAGCGCTGCGCTAGACGTCCAAAATGGCAGATCTTTCACCGTTCACATGATAAGGCCACGTGGATACATTTTGTACATGTACATGTGTAGGCAATACCCACAGAGCTACATGTGTACATCAAATTACCAGAGCACTAACTCCTCATTCCCTTGTGTACAACACTTCTCATAAGTAAGCTGGTTGTAGACATTTTGAATGCATGTATGTGACCATAGAATATATTGAAATACGACATAATAAATTTTCACCGGCAGTTCTGTGGTCTCTAGTGATGGATTGTTCTATTGATGGATGAATTAATTCATTCTGCCTACAAAAATAGTCAACTTTCCAAATAATACTTCTTTAGACAACCATAGTTCGTGACCCATCACTCCCATTCCGTTGTTCCTGGCGGCTTGGCGGTCAGATCATACATGACTCGTGATATACCAGGCACGGTGAGAATACCTTCAACTAGCCTGCCCAGAGCCTGCAAAAACAATCCAGAAAATATGACCGCGGTAAATCTAGTGACTACTTGTAACTGGGCAACTCCAGGGCTGTGCACAGGCCCGTCGCCAAGGGGGGAGGGGGGCCTGGTGGGGCCGGGCCCCCCTTGGCGAGCAATTGGCCCCCCAAACAGCAGAAGCCATGCATATGTATTTTTCAATGGTAGTGGGCCCCCCTAGTTGGTACTATGGCCCCCAAGATGCTCAGGGCTGGCGACGGCACCGGCTGTGCATTGGAACCAAGTACCCGGTTCCAGATTATGGGATCGGGTACCCTTTGCGAGCAATTGGCCCCCCAAACGGCAGAAGCCATGCATATGTATTTTTCAATGGTAGTGGGCCCCCCTAGTTGGTACTATGGCCCCCAAGATGCTCAGGGCTGGCGACGGCACCGGCTGTGCATTGGAACCAAGTACCCGGTTCCAGATTATGGGATCGGGTACCCTTTGCGAGCAATTGGCCCCCCAAACGGCAGAAGCCATGCATATGTATTTTTCAATGGTAGTGGGCCCCCCTAGTTGGTACTATGGCCCCCAAGATGCTCAGGGCTGGCGACGGCACCGGCTGTGCATTGGAACAAAGTACCCGGTTCCAGATTATGGGATCGGGTACCCTTTGCGAGCAATTGGCCCCCCAAACAGCAGAAGCCATGCATATGTATTTTTCAATGGTAGTGGGCCCCCCTAGTTGGTACTATGGCCCCCAAGATGCTCAGGGCTGGCGACGGCACCGGCTGTGCATTGGAACCAAGTACCCGGTTCCAGATTATGGGATCGATTACCCGTAACCAACTTTACAAATTACTCAGTAACTTCTCAGGCAATGAAAGATTTTGAAAGTCATTTGTGGGGAATTTCCATCTGAAAACCAGGCTACATGGGAAAACAAAACATATTTCACGTTTATGATGCAGTTTACATAGGAAGGCTATAAAGCTCACTCTACAGTGTACACACAAAAGTATCTTGCTGTATTGAAGCACCGATATGGTCGTGTGGACCTTAATGAACAATCTGAACAACATCTTCCTAGATTTTATTTTTGGGGTTAGGTTTCTTTTGCGTTACCCGGATACCCGTGATTTTTTTTTTCCAAAAGGGTACCTGTATCTGCGAGGTTTCTCTGATTTTTGGTGTTCCCCCACAAAATTCCCCGAGTTTTCTTTGATTTTTGGTGATCCAAATCCCCCACCCCAATTCCCTGAGTTTTCCCTGATTTTTTAAAGTTTTTTTCCCCAAAAATCCCCTGCGAGGTTTCTCTCATGTTTTCCAAAATTCCCCGAGTTTTTACTGAATTTTTGTGTCCCCCAATTTCCTGAGTTTTCCCTGACTTTTGGTGTTTTTTTCCCCAAATTCCCTGAGCTTTTCCTGATGTTAAGTGTTTTTTAAAGGGAGTATACATCATTTGCTTTTACTGTAATTTTCAGAAATGGATGGAATTGGGGGGTTGGAAATATATAGCAAATATAGTTATACTGACTTTTTTGAGGTTTTGGGTTCGAAAATGCTATAAAAACCAAGAAAAACAATCATTTTCCTGTAGTCTGGTTCCCTGACTGCATATAAGAAGAAACAGAGCAGTTTACATACATTGGGGAATTGTAAGGTCAGGGAACCAGTCTAGCTGGCTTGTACCCGTTTATAGGTGTGTAATCGATTGCAAACAAGTGCGATGGTCAATTGGGGCCAGTATTTGAAAAAAAAGCCAGTTTTTTCCAACGCTGGTCGGCCGACCAGCGTTGGAAATTGATACAAAAATACCACTTTTCGTGAAAATGACAGTATACCAGGTGCCATGATTTTACAGGATGCTTTACACTGTCATTCACTAACAGTCCAGCAAGGTATTTCAAAATGATTTGGTAGTTTTATTTTTTGATGTATGCAAATGTTGTATTTTCCCTTTAAACCCGAATTCCCTGAGTTTTTCATGACCTGAAAAATGGAAACTCAGTTTTAAGGTTTTCCCTGATTTCCAGAGTGGCTGGAAATCCTTGTCAAGGTAATAATTATTTGAATTCCTTACTTCTTCTGGTAGATGTTTGCCCGGCTGGGCTGGGATCCCCGTCATGAAATCATTGGTGATGAACGTCCGTATAACCACACTGCGCTGGCAGGAAGGCTGGTGCATTGTGGGATCGCGGTCAAAATGAAGCGGCACCAAGATGATGGGCATCTGGCTGATCTTGTTGTAATAACCTGCGGGATTGTCAATGATTTGAAAGCATGTAAGGGATTATCCAACAATCATGTCGATCATTTTTCTAAAGAGTCAGACTGATTTAGAAGTATACATTATCACAAGTTTTTAAAAAAATTCTGCAAGTAAAACTTGCCCGATCCCCTGGCATCCTGCCAGTTTGTAGTCATGCACATGTACAGGCAGTTAGTAAGGACAATTTTCAGTGACGGCCTTGATTGTCCACCCGGCAGGTACCAGTCCTCAGTTGAATGGGGAGTTTGGGTTGAATGGAGAGTTTTGGTGAGACACTGGACAAACATATGTTAGAGTCATTAGTATCTCTCCAGAGACCTCGTAAATATCCATATTGGAAAGGATTTGTTTGACGTCGGCCTTCTCTCCACAGACCACTTTTCAAGTTTGGTTGAGATTGATGCACAAACTTTGACGTGAAATGGAACACAAGCACAAGCAGACCCGCCGTGTGAATACATTATCTAAACACCGTGAAAAAACAAGTCCACACTCATTGTAGGGGTCATAATTTAGTATCTGATCGTCTTATAACGTCATTTATACAGAACTTTGGGGAATTTCGTTAGCTACATTTTGATACCCCATTTGCTATCAAAGACTGTAAATTGTCGAACATGGACTTCAGTTTATAAAAAATGATGCAGTTTGAAAAGTTGCAAATTGAAAGAGTACGCGAGTGGAAATTGCTGTGTGACACCCTGCCCAAAACGAATGGCAGGGAATACCGATTGCACAGTGCTTGTATGCATGGGAGCACGCCAAATTGAATTACCCGCGCTTTGTTCGGGCATTGTGCAGTCGATTGGGGTAATCTTTAAATTTTGCAACTTTTCAACTTCATCATTTTTCATAAACCGTTATCAATCTTGGGCGATTTACAGTCTTTGGTTGCAAACGGGATATCAAAATGTAGCTAACAAAATTCCCCAAAAGTAGATACAGATTATGTCATCATAAGACGACCTGATTCAAAATTATGACCCCTCCAACGAAGGTGGACTTTCTTTTGTTGCGGTGTTTATTTTGGGGATTAAAACTTGAAAAATATCACATGCAGTACACGTTTACAAAAAAAAAAGAAGGAAAGAAAGAAAACAATATTGTCATTCCCAAAATAATTTACTATCAAACAGCTCACTTTTAAACCTCCCACTTTTTCAACTTGTAAAATGCACACTTACCACTTTTGATAAGTTCCGACTGCGCGAGATGGTCGGCCTGTCTGAGCGTGCCCAGTACGCCGGGCGTGAGGAAGGTCGGTGTGACATCAGTGATCATTTCCCTGACTGGATCGCCAAATATATACGCAACCCTGAAGGAGAAGGGAGGAAAACCACATCATCAACAAAAATAGTACAACAAAGTATGAATTACCACGGCTTACAATGTAACGATAAAGTTGAGTCGGTTTCAAGCCAATATGGCCCATCAGGCCGGTGTTTATCTCTGGTTTCCTTGGCATGAAACGACTGAGAATATTTCTATTCCTCCTGGATGGGATGCTAGTCCATCGCAGGTTACTCCCCAGCTAATGCTGGTACCCATTTATACTCCTTGGTGGAGAGAGGCAAGTGGGGTGAAGTGGCTTGCCCAAGGACACAACATATGACCATAAGAACACCGGACTCATGCTCTGGTATTTCAGAGGCAACAGTGGCGTGGAAACTGGTGACCATTATTGCTTCGTCCTTCGGATGGGACGTAAAGCAGTAGGTCCTGTGTGTTGTGTAATGCAATGCACGTAAAAGAACCCAGTAACACTTATCGCTAAGAGAAGGGGTTCGCCCCAGTGTTTCTGGCAGTGCGTTTATCTTCAGCCATGAAGTCTGCACTTGTAAGGAAGAAGAAGAAGCTGGATTCGAACCCCTGACCCTCTGATCATGAGTCACGAACCATAACCACTAGGCTACACTCCCCCAATGCAACGGATCATCAATATAATACCCTACACCTCGAAAGTCTCAAAACTACCCATGCAAAATGTAACTTTATCGTCAAGCAAACTTGAATCCTTGATCCTGATTGGTCGATCCATGGCAACAATAGCGTGATATTATACTCAATAGCACGGTCCATATCGCACTTGGCATATCATGCTATTCGAAGATGCGCGTGCCGTTCTTTCTGCACGCACGTCTAAAAACTTAACTGCTGAAAAGGTTGTGTACAGCATGCATGTTCCATTTTTACTCGGAGTAAAGTTTGCTTGAAGATAAATTCATTATCCCACTTGCGCTAGTGGAACACGGAAATGAGTGCGTCTGGGTCCCACATACCACTTGGCCTTCAGCCTCTTCGTGTGTGGGACACAGACGCACTACATTATTCCGTGTTCCACTCAGGCTCGCGGGATAACTAATTACATACATACAGCAGATGCACCTAAAATTATATATTACCATCATTTAAAGCTACAGTCCATCATTTGTAATTTGTGCATTTTGTTCGTTTGAAGCAACAAAAGAGTTCAAAATCTACTGAAGGATACTGAGCAACTAACCTGATGAAGTTTCAGCTAAGCTTCAGCTGTACATTCCGAGAAAAACAGCATTCTAAGATCTCAATTTCAAATCAAAAGTTACTGAATCATGTTTTGAATTGTTTTGAATTGCAGCTATACACGACGTCGCGCACTGATCCGATGAATTATAACAACCGCGCGCGCGCTTGTGCGTCGTTCCAATACTTGTGCGCGCTGCGCTGAATAACAAAACGAACTACTAATTTAAATTTTCCTACGGTGCTTCTTTAGAATCACCGTTGGAAATGCCTTCTTTCGTTGATTACTTCAAAATGACAGCTTCCCCGGAAAGAAAAATTTCACAGGGAGTTTAGTTCCCTTACTATCTTTCATCCAAGTTTATTTTTCAACAATAATTACGACAGTTACTTTTCGGATGGCTGCAAATGATGGACTATAGCTTTAAATATAGAGGGAAAATATTCAATAATGGGTGTCTGCCCTTCAACAACATAATTTCAGAAGCACAGCATACTCAGTATTGCCTGGGGCTTACAAGAAAAATGTGCAAGCTTACACCAGTGGGATTTGAACCCCGACCCCTGGCTTACTAGTCGAGACGTCTAACCACTCAACCATCTCTGAATCTGACCAGTACTATAATCAATCACTAGATTGTATGATGGAACATCAAGTTTTTACCTGTTGATGTTATGGCAGAGTTTGGGGATCATCTTTGCAAGTATTAACAATTTGTCCCAGTCTGGGTCAGCATCACTGCTGATCCCTGCTACATAGCTGTATGTCCTACCGTCGCCCTGGAAAGAGAAACACACATAGGCGTAAAAATGTCAATCACACGTAACCCAGACTCAGTTTCAGATTTAAGGACAAGTAAGAAAATTGACTGGAGCGGGGTTTGAAGCTGTGACCTCCGGATTGCTGTTCCGGTGCTCTACCAACTGAGCTATCCAGCCCTATGTTGGCAGTTCTCAATTTTGTCAATGTCTTACTTCAAACCTGTTCATCTTTTCCAAATTCGCAGGGCAAAAACTTGCCCCGATGTCACAAATTTGCATTCGCATTCAATTTTGCGCTGTGTACGAACTGGTTTTCAGGATGGACCTGACCACATCATCGCTGTACGTATGGCGGTTACACGAAACGCTTCAGGTTTGAGCATGTTTACAGAATCAAATTAATCTGACGTTCTTCGCATCACACGCTGCAAACTGTTGCGCACATAATAGTCCCCCAAAAAAGCTCTCTCTCGTTGTCTAGCATATATCGATTCTGGATGGATTCTATAAACGACACAATGTTTGACTTTTTCTGCAAATACCTATAAATGGCCGCATATTTTTAGAAACTTCAGATTAACTGCTAGTAACAGATATGAGCATTTCTAAGATGCATTCTCCATGCTAGTTTGAGTTTGCCTACTGAAAACAGCTTTTTTTCAACTGCTACTTTCCTAGCAATGTACAAAAAGTTATTCAGTTTTGAATGAGAAATCCGAACAAAAGAATACATCAAAATATTTTATTTCAACCTGACGTTAAATCAGCTCTCGTAGGGCAGATTCATTTGTGCACAAAATGAAAGCCCTTTTTAGAGGGTCACAGTTGCCCAAAATGGGGGGAGGGGGGAGTAGTTTTGTTGTTAAAACAAATCACACAAATAGAAATCTCTATTTTTTTTCAAGAGCACGAGGCACGCATTTTCAAAGGTTAAAGATTACCCTTTCAATTCGACTGCAAAATACAAACAAGAAACTTAATAAATAGAAATTGGATCTGCCCTACACACCATTTACATCCTTTGACAATATTTTGATGAATCATTGAAAAAAAAGAGTGTTTGAACTCACCTGAACGCCAACTGATTTGATGGGTAATAACGTAGCGAAGTACTGCTCAGTACATGTGACAGAACACAGCAGCGCTTGCTCTTCGTCTGTCATGGAAGACGTGACGCGACCCATCAAGGCGTGGGGCTAGAAATAATCAACACAATGACATTCTAGATTGGTATATCACCTTCGATTAAAAAAAACTGATAGAATGGTTCAAAATACAGATTAGATTTATATCAATTAAAATATAATCACAGAATTGTATGTCGGTACAAATTACTCTTGTGGTCTAGTGGTTGGGATTTGTGACTGCTAATCAGAAGGTCAGGGGTCATATGTTGTGTCCTTGGGCATGCCACTTTACCCCCACTTGCCTCTCTCCACCCAATATAAATGGGTACCGGCATTAGCTGGGGAGTAATCTACGATGGAACGGTATTCCATCCAGGGGGAATAGAAATATTCTCAGTTGTTAAAAGTACAGATTCCTGCTGCATGTGATATGTTGTGTCCTTGGGCAAGCCACTTCATCCCAACTTGCCTCACTCCACCCGGGAGTATAAATGGGTACCGGCATTAGCTTGGGAGTAACCTGCGATGGACTGGCATCCCATCCAGGGGGAGTAGAAATATTTGAAGTCGTTTCATGCCAAAAAAACAGTAGATAAATGCTTGCCTGATGGGCCATCATTGGCTTTTGACAGACTTTACAAGTTTACTAATAATTTCACCTGAGAGATGATTTTTAATGAGCAATCAACATTGCAAAATTATGTGAGCATAAACACCGCAAAAACAGTTAAGTGAGGAAAATGAAGTTTTGTATAATAGGAAAAGAAAAGAAACTTTGAGCAAACCTTCTTGACTGCAGCATTATAATCCACCAATATCTGCAAAATGGAATTAGTCTCAACGAAGTCTTTTCCCATGAACGATTCCTCGGCACAGATGACTCGGATTGCTAATCCTGGACCTACATGGACATAACATGCACAACAAACAAACAGCATAAACAACCTGAATAGGCTATGGTTATTCACTTGAACGCAGGAAGGTTGGACTACTCTCGCAGAATATTTGGAACTTAGCATACGGTCGCATCACTGGTTACTAATATCTGCGCACATCATAAAGCACAGTCTCAGAGAGCCTGGACCAAGGAGTTTCATGATGATGTTTTGACCATCGTTTGTCAAGAGGTGTTAACACGTTGCTCTAAGAAAAAAAACTATCTATGTGCAAACACGATTGTGATGTTTTTTTAATTGTAAAGTTGCATTTTTTTATTGCCAGACGCCACTTTTTTTTGTCAATGGTAACTTTTTTGTCGACACCTACTTATTGGTCCCCATCTGTGACTGATGGAACAAAAGGAGAGTTAAAGAAAATCACACTTTGGATACATCTATCTTGACTTGTTCAAGCATGACAGGTATAATGTTTGCCGTACTTGTTCGGCATACTTGTGTCATAACGTTAAACCCAAGCAATATTTTGATACTTCAGAGCAAATTGATATTCTTAAGGCATACCTGGAAAAGGATGACGTTGTACAAGCTCTGAAGGAAGACCAAGTTCTCTGCCTAGAGCACGGACTTCATCTTTGTGAAAGTCTTTGAGCGGCTCTACGACCCGACCGTCCCGCCGGAGCTGACGAACCAACTCCGTGTCGTTATGGTGCGTCTTGATCGCGTCGGCTTTGCTACTCGCAAGGTGGGAGGCGCTCTCGATCAGATCGGGCCGTAGTGTTCCTAAAAAGAACGACAGAAATCATTTTGCTAACCGGACAACAATTTGCTGGGCAACTCCAACATTTATAGGAATCAATTCGGATTCTGCCCAGAAATGACGATACAATTAGGAATTGATTCCAATTTTCCCTAGCGACAATGACACGGCAAATACCTCCAACTATGAAAAGTCTAAGTGAATTGCGGTGAATCGCTAATAGGAAGTCTTTAAGATATGTAATCACTCTGTAGAACATGCTTATCTACCTCGACAATTTTGTTTTGAAATGTCAGTTTCAGCACACATTTCGAGACAATCGGAAATATTTTGCAACTGTGAGTTTTACATGAAAAAACAAATAAAAAATTACTACCTTTTATGAAAATTTTACTGTTCTTACATTTTAAAATAAAATTAACATTTTATACCAAAAACTCCCTGCAATTGGCCTAAATCCTCTAGCGACCCCCTCCCCACCCGAGCACTATTCGTTGTTTACCCTGAGCTAGTATTGTGTCCTCTGGTTTAAGGTTCAACTCCACGCAAACTTCTTCAGCGATCCTCATGAACGTGTCTCCGATGATTTGCCGTTTCTCCTCTGGTTCAATGGTGGTGTTCAGCATTTTAGTCTGGCGCTTGGCTGACTTGGGATCGTTCCTCTTCGACGGTATGGTGGTCGTCCCGCAATAGAAAGACTGGGAGGCGTTCACGACTATAGTCAAGAATGGAGATAGCGTGAGTAACTCCAGCTCCAACATTTAACGATCGAGGTTAATGTATGTTCTATCCAGCGGTAAAAAAAATGGCAGAGTCCCTAAAATAAAACGGACTCCACGAAAATGGTCCTTTTCCCCTGTTATCCCAACCTAGATGAGATTAACCATACCTCATATCATGCAGCAGTCATTCATGAAGCTAATGATTGACTTGAAACGGAACAACTAAAGTGACTAAAATATGAAAAATATTGATGATTTTTGTGGCTTCTTAAGAAAAACCGTCCAGTTCTGCTGTCATGGCTGTGTTTTGGTGGTTGCGTATCTGTGCGCATGCGCACGTTGCGCTTGACTTCGGGACTCCGCCATTTTTTTACCGCTGGATAGAATGTACATTGACCTTCAGCGTTAAATGTCAAATTCCTGATGAATGTTGGAGCTGGAGTTACTCAAGCTAGAATGGAGATAAGATTTATTATCTTGAAGCAAACTTGAATCCTCGATCCTGATTGGTGGATCCATGGCAACAGTGTTATATTATCGCATATACCACAGTCCATATTGCAAGCTATTCTAAGATGCACGCCCTATGTGGAGTGCCGTGGCCTTATGGTCTGGAGCATTGAATTCGTGGTCTGCGGGTAATTCTGCAGGTTGTGGTTCGAGTCCAGCCTGGGGTTGTGGTGCGTGTGCCCTTGGGCAAGGCACTTTGTCACTCATTGCTTCTCCCTACCCAGGAGTAAATGGGTGCCTGGGCAGAGATGGTTATTGTGATTGATTTTAGCTGCTGTGCCAAAATGGCAGCATGGAGCTGTATACTCCCCAGGGAGCTGAGATTGTCTTTGGAATGGTTTATTGGCACAATGAGCAGGGTAATAATGATGTAGCGCCTTGAGCACCAATACTGGTGGATACGTGCGTTTTATAAATAAACATTATTATTATTCCTACGGCAAGCACAAGTCAAGAGGTGGTGTAGCACAGCCACTTGTCTAGAGAGGCATGTAATAATCCCACTGCATACACACTAAAAAGCCACCATAGCCAGTCAGTAAAATGTCACAACTTAGACACATGGCACAAGACACACATACGCCACACTGGCGAAAACCTTTCCCTTCTGGGTCACTCTTAAATTCACTGAGTTTTCCATAACCCTGTTACAATAATGAAAACTTGTGGAGTCATATATACACGTACCTTTCAGACGAAGTCCTAGTTTTTCTAATGATTCCTGTACGCATTGACTTTCTTGTTTACGCATGAAACCGTTATCAATGTGTACAGCTAGAACCTGATCCTCATCAAGCGCCTAGCAAGACAAACAATAACGAAACTTTTATTAATTCACTGTAGATATGCACAAATTGAAAAACAATAGGTCTCTCTTAAAGACGGCCATCTCTGTAGGAGAACTGCAACTGCATATTTTTACGCAATCAAGCACGCATTGCGCAGTGTTGAAAATGTTCCAAACACGCGCGCTTGTTGCTCGAAATGTGTTTGAAATACGACGCAGCTGTTGTGCGTTGTGCAAGTTGACGCTTGAAATGCCGATGCACATGGCTGGTCTGTAGGAAATGACGTCATTTGAGAGAGAACTATTGGGCCTACCAAAAATATTACATAAACCATTATCTTCAAGCCAAGTTGAATCCTTGATCCCGATTGGTCGATCCATGGCAACTGTCTGTAACAATTATCCCATATACCATTGACCATACACCACTGAGTAATTGCGCTATTCTAAGATACACGCTATTCCTACATCACACACACGTTTTAGATAAACGCTGAAAAATTCGTGTACAATGTAGGGGTGTGCATTTACGGGTAGTACGGAAATCAGATACCCGTTTGAAAAAAACACGGTACCTGGTTACCCGTTCAAGAAAGCCAACCCCAAAATGTTAATCTCGGAAGTCGCTGTTCAGATTGTTCATAAAGTCTGCACGAAAACACTACCGCATCAGTGCATCAATACAAGATACAAGTGTGTACAGTGAGCTCAATACATGTAGCTTTACGGTGTAAATTGCATTTTCGCAAGCGTCCTGAACATGAATCTGTTTTGTTTTTCCATGTAGACTGGTTTTCATTTTGAAAATTCTCCACAAATGACATTCAAAACCTTTCTTTTTCATTGTCTGAGAAGTTACTAAGTAATGTGTAACGTTGGTTAGGGTATTCGATTCCATAATCTGTAACTGGTTTCTGATATCAGCGGTCGGGTACTCGGGTACTCGGGTACTCGGGTACCCGGTTTCGACGCACAGCCCTAGTACAGCGTGTGTCTTCCATCTTTACTGTGCGTCAAGTTTGCTTGACGATAATTTGTTTTCCCACTCCCTCTCGGGAACACGGAAAACGTAGTGCGTCTGTGTTCAATAAGCCACCAGTTGAATCTGGACAAAGTAATAATGGATGGTTTGAAGATGTTTGCTTACCTTCGACAATAATGCAGCGCACACTGTAGAATCGACACCACCACTCACCAAGACCTGAAATGATTAAACAATCATTACAAACAAATAAGACTACTATTCTTTGTTCTCCAAGTTGTCAAACTTCCCCGACGGGCTGCTCAGCTATGCGCGATTCCAGCTCAGCTTTGCGCAATCGCAGCTCAGCTTTGTGCGAAGAAAGTCATCACCAAGCTTTAAAATCAAGTCGTTATAAGATGGAATTTGCGTCGGGTTGATGTTAATTCAATATTGGGTAAACAGTGTTGATGAACATTTGTCTGTGAAGGGCGAACACTAAATATTCATTTAAGCCTTACCCTCTTTAATCCTCCAAAATCCTTGTTTGGGAGGATTTTGGAGGATTGAGGCTGAATGGCAAAACAAGTGTGGGTTGATGTTGTAGGACGCATTGTGTCGAGTTTGTAGGCTGTACCCAGCATTGTTTATTTTCAGCAAAGTATACAACATTTGCTTTTGCTGCAATTTTCAGAAATGGACGGATTTGGAGGTTAGTCTTGTTCCCTGATCCGTCAAGGAAAATTTATACATGTCAGGGAACCAGACTAGCTGGCTTGCACCCATTTACAGATATGTAACTAGTTAGTCCACAGAATGTGGACTAACTAAATTTAATCAAGTGGAGGGCAGTATTTGAAAAAAAAACCACATTTTTTTCCAAAGATGGTTCGACCAAACCATTGCTGGAAAATGATACAAAATTCCACTTTTCTTGAAAATTACAGCATACCAGGCGCAACAATTTCACAGGATGCTTGAGACCATTATTCACTTACAGTCAAGAAAGGTATTTCATAATAATTTGGTAGTTGCATTTTTTTTTAACCCTAACCATCCCAAATCCTCCAAAATCCTTTTTGCAATTTGGAGGAATTTGCAGGATTGAGGTTACATGGCAAAAGTGTGTTGCTGATTTCGGAGGACGCACTATGTCAAGGTCTTGGGCCGGACCTTGTGTTGTTTATGCTCAACCTAGCATAAATTTAGCCCTTGATTATACTTGACATCCTCCGCACTGCTCCAGGATGTCACTGCCTCTGCCTCAGCCTATTGACAGTCATAGCCGGAGGATTTTGCAGGATTCAGGCAGTGGTCACCTCTCCACGGACCATATTCAAGAAATAATAGAGGAATTTGCAGGATTGAGGCTACATGTATATGCTATTTTTCCATGAGGCCAATTGGAGGATTTTGCAGGATTGAGGCTACATCCTAGCAAAAAGGCCTAGGGAGTTGGGTTAATGTTTCCAAATGTTGTACATTTCCTTGGTGTTCAAGCCACGTGACTTACCAAGACTTTACTGGAGCCTACTTTCTCATGGATCTCTTTGATGCACGCCTGTTGTCTGTTGTTGATGGTGTATGTGCCTGCCAAGCCAGCGATACGATACAGGAAGTTATGCAGCATGTCCTTGCCGTGCTCACTCAGGTCAACTTCGGGATGAAACTGTACTCCATATAATCTTTTCTCCTCATTTGCAATAGCTGTAATAAAAAAAGGATAAAGCTAATAATTCAGATGATGCAAGAAAAATTAGTATATCAATTCAAATATTCAACCATCAACAAAATTTCTGAATAGCATTTTCTCAATTCAAATATTTAAATATGGGAGCGATCTCGAAGAATAATGAAAAAACGTACATGCTGTTCTTTTATCGTACGTGTCGCGTGGTTGTATTGTTCGTCTAAAACCACTTTCACGCTGATTTGAGAGTTTCCACGATGAATATTAACTCACATTTCTTCTTTAAAAATATCAGCCATTCTGTTACCTTTTCTTTATATTATTCAAAGTTCTTTGTCAATTTTCAACAAGCGCAGGCTGAACAATAGCAAAGGAATGCCTTAGTCCAAATTCCTTTGAAGAGCTTGTGGGATTGGGTGACTTGTGATGGACTTGTGATGGATTGTGATGGACTTGTGACTGACTTGTGATGGACTTGTGATGGACTTGTGATGAACTTGTGATGGACTCGTGATGGACTCGTGATGGACTTGTGATGGACTCGTGATGGACTTGGGATTGACTTGTGATGGACTTGTGATGGACTTTGGATGGACTTGTGATGGACTTGTGATGGACTTGGGATGGACTTGGGATGGACTTGGGACGGACTTGCGATGGACTTGTGATGGACTTGTGATGGACTTGTGATTGACTTGTGATGGACTCGTGATGGACTTGTGATGGACTTGTAATGGACTTGTGATGGACTCGTGATGGACTTGTGAAGGACTTGTGAAGGACTTGTGAAGGACTTGTAATAGACTTGTGATAGACTTGGGATTGACTTGTGATGGACTTGTGATGGACTTGTGATGGACTTGTAATAGACTTGTGATGGACTTATGATGACTTGTGATCCCCCAGAACATTGGAAATGTGTCCTAGCCATTGCGCTGTCTAACACTTTTCTGACTCGTTGTGGCTGTGAGTGGATAAACATAAACTGTACCTGCAATGATTTTGCCTGATGTGGCAGCCACCGTGAAACCGTCAGCTACTTTATTCAAGCTGTCCCCATGAGTCAATAGTACTGTCTGCTCCTTCGCCAGACCTCTACAAGACAAATCATCAAAAGAAAATAAATGTTACAACCTGACGCCACTTTTTTCTTCATATATCATCTCAATGAAGGTCAGTCATTGCAAAAATGATAAGACATGAATCTGGGACTGAGAAACATTTCCAATTTTGATAGGAAATACTTGAAAAATGTTCTTGACTCTCCATAGACTTTGTACACAACCGCCGAAGTGGCGTCAGGTTGCAACATTTTTTCCTCATCAACATTAACACCACTATTAAAAATCAAAACCATTTTCGACTTTCCCCTCTTTTACACAAACCAAGAAGACTGCAAAATTCCTCCTGAAAAGTAAAGACAATTCATTCGAAAGGTGCCTTTTCTGCTCAAACAAAAATTCAGCTTAACACTAAATTATATTGCATTTTGTTAACCCTTCTAGTTGGAAGTCAGTATTCAGAGCAATATGTAAAACCCTTGAAAACCCTGCAGGTCAGTTTCAGGTGAAGGGATATGAAGTGTTAAAGTAACTGTGTCACACAGAGAGTCACTGCACACAAAAACAGCACTGTGGAGAGCAGTGAAGCGTGACTGAATCTGCCTGCTTGCCCTGAGCTTAACCACACACAAGAATTGTGCAGGGATTTGAAGTGTTATCCATACTCCACAGAAGATTACCTCAAAGGAATTTGAAGTGTGGGTTTTAACTCTATGGACAAAAGTGATTTTGCAAAACTCATGGGTTGTGAAGTCCAGAAGACTAGGACGTTAATTGAATCTGACATACCTGAATAGCATAACATCTGTGTTCGCAGTAATGGTGAACTGTCCGTCTTCTCTGACTGATTTCTTCTGCACAGTTCCACCAAACTCCTTATTCATCATCTGTAAACAAAATGTTCAACATAGTACGATTCCGAAAGAAGTTGAACAAACGCTTTTCCAAAGTGGTGGGCAGAGGGAATTCAACGACTGTTTCGTGAGCGAACAGAAATCGTACACAGCCGTCACAAAAGCTGTTATTAACCTCGTACGAGACCTTTGAATTATTTAAAACGTTGTGGAGCTACGCCAAGTTTTGTGCCATCGATCGTTAGTTTATTGTGCAGCCATGCAACAAATTTGTTGCGTAAATCCTACGCAAGGTGTAAGCTACGCACCATTTCGTGTATCTCAGTACTACTTGCGTAAAGCCCGGTTCATACTCCACGCGAATGCGAAGCGAATTTGACGTCATGAAACGTTCACTGCGAAATTCACCCGAGTTAAAATGTGCTTAACATTACGAATTCGCAGCGCGAATACTTGACACAACGTCACAAATTCGCGTTCGCTTTCGCGCCGAGTATGAACCAGGCTTAAGGTTTAAGAGTTAAAAATGTGATATTAACCCTAACTCCCTAGCATCTTTTAATAGGAACTGGACCAAGTCCATCAAAATCCATCAATCACTGTGCGTCTAATACAAAACTGTACATGACATAATGGAATCCACCACTGACGCACTAGTTGACATTCATGGACTTGCTAAACATGGCTTTTATCACAATAGCAGTACAGGAAGCTAGGCAAAATCAATTGGATACCCCTAGCACTGCTTCAGGCCATTAGGCCCAAGTCCATCATACTCCATCAATATTTAGTCACGCCAGGCCTTCTGGACCAAGTCCCCCAAAATCCACCAAAATGGGGATTTTGATGGAGTTGGGGTGGTCAGTATTAAAGATGGTGTTTGTGCATGGAATAAACCATGCAAAAAAGAAAATCGGTTTGCATATTACCTGCATGCCATAACATATACCAAGTACTGGAAGACCACAATGGAAGATTGCAGCATCATAGACAGGTGCGTCTGCTGCATAGACACTGTTAGGGCCACCCGAGATAATGATCCCCCTGCAATCAAATGGAACATTCCTCAATTACATCCTCATCAATACTCATTACTCAGTGCTGTTGTTGAGTACTTTTATCTGAGTATTGAGTACTGCCGAGTACCAAACCATCGAGTACCACTCGCATCCCAATACTTTGACCTTTGAGAACGAGTACGGGTACCCGAGTTCAAGTACTTGGACCTTCGGGTGCCAGCTTTGTGAAGCAGAGTCGGAGTTCTTGGACCTCCGAGTGCAAGAACAATTACTTGGATCGCTGAGTGTGAGAGGATTTTGGAAGGTTAGATTAGAAGGTTAGAGGGTCAGGGGTTTCAATCCTGCTGCCTGTGATATGTTGTGTCCTTGGGCAAGCCACTTTACCCCCACTTGCCTCTCTCCACCCAGGAGCACAAGTGGGTACCGGCATTAGCTGAGGAGTAACTGGCAACCCATCCAGCAGCCGATTTCACGAAACTTTACGCAATGGCACGAGTCCACTTGCGCAACAATTTATTGCCAAAGTCGTGCAACATTTCACGCTGCGCAACATTTCAGCTTTAACAATTTCACAAAAGTTTCATCAGTGCATAAGTCTGTGACTTGCGCTATAAATTATGGGGCAACTTGCGCAATTATTTTAGGTGGCGTACGTTGTGGCGTAGCGACTGAAATGGACCTATTTTACCAGCAAATCGTGATTGTCGTGGAGCCCGTTACTGTACAACTTATCAAGGTTGATACAAGACACTCACAGCTTTGTGTTTGAAGTAAAAGAATGGCTATTTTACTCGTGACAGAGTTTTTAGAGTTTCCTAACCATCCCGAAGAAAGTCAGACAAAAATATTTTCAAAATGGCGAGCGGAGGTGATTCAACAACTGTTTCATGAACAAACATAATCATACACAAACAAACAGCCGTCGTTAATGTTGTTATTATCCTCGTCCAAGATGTATAGATTACTTTTAAAAAGTTGCGCGGCAGCTACGCCAAGTTTCGTGAAATGTATCATAAATTTGTTACGTTAGTCCTACCATGGCGTAAGTTACGCACTGATTCGTGAAATCGGCCGCAGGGGGAATGGAAATATGCCAAGGAAACCAGAGCCAAGGAAACCAGAGATAAACCCCGGCATTTTGCACCATATTGGCGTGACAGACTTTACAAACTTACCTATAGCCCTTTTCTTTGATGATATAGGCAGGTGTGTCTAGAGGGAGAATGTCCGTATCGACTAGTAGCTCCCTCACCTTGCGATCAATGACCTGAAATTTGAACAAAATCCCACTATCAAGACGATGTTTAGAATAAAGCCTCTTTGATTTATTCCAACAACCAACGTCTCAAAAGTCTCCCATTGTGGAACAGCCAACATAGGACTGGATGGCTCAGTTGGTAGATGACTAATACGGAAATCAGAAGTTTGAAGGTTCAAAGTTATGTTGTGCATCGGGTCGGGTTGACCAGACCAAACCGACCCGAATCATAATAGATATAAACCAAATCCGAACCAAAACCAATCTAAACTCCCTTAATTCGATCTGACCCGACAAAAATTAAGCAAAAACCGACCTGAATCGAACAGAAAGCATAGCTGCCAACATTTCAAAATCCCAATTAGTAATCAACCCGCGCGGTCATTTTCAACTGCTCGTTTTATCAAAAGCTTTACCAACATCGAGTACAGGTACATGGTTTACATGTACACATACATGTGCATACCCTTCTTCTTGTGAATAATAATGTAATGTAGGCCAAAAGATAATTAAAAAAAAAAAAAATTAATTTTTTTTTTTTTTTTTAAATTAATTTTTTTTTAATGTCTGTATTTGTTTGTTGGAGTCAAATAAATAATAACAATAATAAAATATGCGCATATTTTTTTGGAGAGGCATGCTATCGATGTTGAGTTTCGAGTTCGTATCAATGTTTTTACACACAATGATTTAGGGCCACCGTCATGACCGTATGCAATAGAAATATCCCGCCAACATACCTTGCAAACGCATGCTGATTTATCTTTTCTGGACGTTGTGACAAACTCAAACTGTAATACCAATTATTCCAACCATACTCTTATTAAATTCCATGATTAAATTGTCGCACTGATGGGTCTCAACCCGGCAAAAAGCGACCAAATGTGCTCACGATCGTCACTGAAAAGTACTCACATACAGTACACACAACCACACATCCACGAGATGCACACAAATGACACACCATTGAAAAATAGTTTTAGTCTGGTCCTCAAGTACTCCACTGCGCACACTGCATTGATGTCTATCAGGTGCTTGACTGCATTCTTATTAGACTTGTCACCAGTCCATCCATTATCGCGACATTTCGCCAGAAGTTTTCGGTCAAAAACGATACTTTACAAGTATTTTTTTTCCATTAGGTAGAAAATGGGAAATTCGTAATGTTTTAGTGGCAAATCGTATTTTCGTAATTTAACAAACAATTCGTAATAATTACGAAAAATTAGTAACAGTTGGCAGCTATGAGAAAGTGAACCGATCCGAAAAAAAATACAGACCTCTGGCTTGGGCAACTGTGTCCGCTTTTTGTGCCTGAACTTACCCACCTCACGTGAAAATCGTCGTCTCTAAGTAGAGAATCATACCGTACATCACTATGAAGACTCATAATGGTACCTACTGGTAGGCCTGCACGTTATAGACTTACCTGACCTGACCCGACCCAAATTCAGTTTTGGGTCGGATCAGTTTCGGTTACGGTGAGGACTCATAATGGTACCTAAAGGTAGGCCCTGCACATTATATACTTACCCCACCTGACCCGACCCGAAGTCGGTTTTGGGTCGGATCAGTTTCGGTTACAGTGAAGACTCATAATGATACCTACTAGTAGGCCTGCATGTTATAGACTTACCCGACCTGACCTGACCCGAAGTCGGTTTTGGGTCGGATCAGTTTCGGTTACGGTGAAGACTCAAAATGGTACCTACTAGTAGGCCTGCATGTTATAGACTTACCTGACCTGACCCGACTCGAAGTCGGTTTTGGGTCGGATCAGTTTCGGTTACGGTGAAGACTCATAATGGTACCTACTGGTAGGCCTGCATGTTATAGACTTACCCGACCTGACCCGACCCGAAGTCGGTTTTGGGTCGGATCAGTTTTGGGTCGGGTGTGCACAACATTAGTTCAAACCCTGCACCAGTCAATTTCTCTGTTCAACTTTACCACAGTAAGTATGGAATGTGTAATGATAGAGTTACCTTTCCATATTGTGCTCCGGCATCCAATATTGCGATCTTCTCTGCAGATGATGAAGCCAGGTCATCATTGGTGTGATTTGTGTTTCCGTTCATATCCTGTGGATATCAATTATCATGCGACATTAGCTTGAGTAACTCCAGCTCCAATGCTCATCAGGAATTCGACATATAGAGCTGGGGCTAAAACTATGTTTCAGATACTAGATTCTAAGAGGCCCTTAAAAACGGGACTCTCTGTATCTGTATCACAAAAATGGTCCTTTTTTCCCTCTAGTTTCCCAACCAAGATTCCATTAAACATACCTCATTATGTTTAATGGAATCTGGTTTCCCAACCAAGATTCCATTAAACATACCTCATTATGTTTAATGGAATCTGGGTTGGGATTAATAGAGGAAAAAAGGACCATTTTTTTTGTGATACCAATACAGAGAGTCCCGTTTTTAAGGGCCTCTTTGAATCTAGTATCTGAAACATAGTTTTAGCTCCAGGTCTATATGTCGAATTCCTAATGAGCATTGGAGCTGGAGTTGCTCAAGCTAATTTGATAGGTGCATTACTACAGCCTACAGGCACAGTCCGAGCGAAACCCAGACTTGGGCGATCGTGAAGTGTAGGGCCCCTGTTTTGATCAAATTAGAGTCAAAAATGTTTTTTATTGCTCAAAAATCACCTTTACAATCAAAAGCAGACTTTTCTCAATTCTAAAGCCACCCGTTTTGCAATTTTGAACAGATTCTTGGGGTAGAAATCACGATTTTCCTGCGCGGTTTGTGCCTTGCGATTCAGCATGCCATGCGTGCTCACGGTAAATCGCGCGGTGATCGCCATCTTATTTTCGGGTTACGTTTTGTCGCCGCGTACTCCTAGAACTATGAGGCTCCACGTAGTGGAGCCTCATTGAGTCAGAACCCCGCAAAATTGTTGTCAGCACAAAACACTAATCAAGTACAAAAACGTCCATCCCAACCGAGCTTTTTCCCACAGAACCGCTGCACAGTTTGTCCCTAAACTCCGTAAAATACCTCATGACATACTCACGTTATGTGCACCAAACAAACATCTGTGGATTCTGTCGGTTTTTCGGCAAAAATGATGAAAAATATGCCCTTTTCGCACTGAGCCAACCTGACACTTGAAACGTGCACGCGCGCAGACTGATCGCAGTCATTTTCGGTTCGATCGCTCGGAGCGCGCCGCGGGGGGTATGGTGTAGGAGCCGAACGATAGTATGTGCATGCGTACAAGTGCAAGTACGTACCCCCCGCGGCACGCTCCGAGCGATCGAACCGAAAATGACTGCGATCATTCTGCGCGCGTGCACGCTTCAAGTGTCAGGTTGGCTCAGTGCGGAAAGGGCATATTTTTCATCATTTTTGCCGAAAAACCGACAGAATCCACCGATGTTTGTTTGGTGCACATAACGTGAGTATGTCATGAGGTATTGTACGGAGTTTAGGGGCAAACTGTGCAGCGGTTCTGTGGGAAAAAGCTTGGTTGGGATGGACGTTTTTGTACTTAATTAGTGTTTTGTGCTGACAACAATTTTGCGGGGTTCTAAATCTATGAGGCTCCACTACCATAGTTCTAGGAGTATGTGTCGTGCACACTTTTTTTGCGCAAGGTTACACGCGCCAAAACCAGTAGATGCACACGATTTGTTGTGTTGTGTGCATGCAGTATTGCATAGTGTATGTAGCTCACAGTACTGTACAGTCTACAGACGTATATATATGCGCTTTGCATGCCTTTATTACATGTTTATGCGCCTATCAACCCAGACTTGGACCAAGTCTACGCTCTGCGTGTCTTGCATGCATGCACCAGTACAGTGTACATGTACATGTACATGTACGTACGAAGTTGAAAACTGGAACTAGTTAGGGGAAGAAAACAATCATTCATATCTACACATCACACCAACAAACAAACAAGTTAAAATCACAATAATCACCTGAATGATTCACGTGTTTATCACTGTCGTAAGTAAATATTTATGGATGTTGATTCGGTTGACAAAACAACAAAAACAGATGCCAAGAGCCAGACACGGCGATGTGTTGTGAACTTCAACTTCACCGGCGCGGGATATTTTAATGCGCTGTAATAGACTGGTTCCCGCCACCCCCTACATACCGATCTCTAAATCACTAACTGTGCACGGACCGCGAACCAGTCTACACTGGCTCCGTGTGCCTGCTGCGTGAACGGCGTGAACACTGTGGACTGAGGGCGCTATTTTGAGACCGCATGAGAGACTTTGACACTTTGACAGGCAGGACACGTAAAACGGAAGGGGGCATAGTAGAAGCGGCAGAAGTGAAGGGGCGGTGGGGGTTCCCCCAATTTTTGAAAGGGTTGCATTTTGCCCCACCCATCTATCCAGTCATGCACTTTTCACATTGCTTTTCACAAAGAAGCACGGCGCGTGGGTAAAATCATTCGGATCCAGATTTAGCGATGACAAGAAAGCAAGATAGGGCCGGCAGTGATCGAGCCCCCCCCCCCACGTTTGCTAGGCTTTACTCGAGTATAGCCCTAGCTAGGCGAGTATAACCTAGCAAACGTGACAGGGGACAGGGTACTCTATCTAGTCAGCATGTCCAAAGTTTTGACGTGATGTCAAGTTTTGACAAGGTGAGGGACATGTAGTACATGGTCTATGTAATAGACCCATGGCGAATGCCATGGGTTGTACAAGAGTCTTGCTCCGTGGATAACGGGTGACACTCAGACTAGACACGTATGGACCGGACCCAGTCGTCAGAGCCGAGCCAGACCAGGCCGGTTCTGCCGCCCGCCGGCTGGCCCGCGTTGTGTTTTTTGTTTATCAGTTCATCATAATGATTTATCATGACACCTCCGAGTTCTTTGGAAACCACTCGTGCACAAGGGCGGATCCAGACACAAATTTGGTGGGTTTTTTTTTGGGGGGGGGGGGGGAGGGGGGGCGTAGTCTGAGTGTCACCCGTTATCCATGGAGCCAACTACATGGCATTCGCCATGGTCTATTACATAGACTGGGGGGGGGGGCCAAAAAATAGTTGTGGTCCCCCAAAAAGTTGGTTTCAAAAATTACGGCGAGGGGTTCGGGGCCCGCCTAAGGGCCCCGAAAAATGTTTGGATTCTAGACGCTCTGTGGTGCGATCTGAGGCAATTTCTGACCACTTTAACCCTTTTTGTTTTTGAGGAAAAGATGGTGGTGAACGACTGTACGCAGTTCCTGCCTTTATTGCGACGTCACTTTTTAAAAAAATGGGGTTTTTTTGGGGGGGGGGGGTGGGGGTGGGGGGGGGGGGGGTCATGGCCCCCGTTGGCCACCCCCTGGATCCGCCCTTGCTCGTGCAGTCTGGGGGCATTTCCAATCCTTGCGGAATTGTCGGGAGCACAGCGGCAGCCACTTCGGGGGAGGCGCTCTCAATACTGCGGTGGGCCTAGCTCGGCGAACCGCTGCAGCGAAGTATAAGGCAAATCTCAGGATAAACTGAGCTGCCCCGATGCACGACAAAAGTGACTGAAAAGCGGCGGCAGCTCTGATCTGGTCCGGTCCCGGCCCGCCGGCCGATGATCAGTCTTGGTTCTGTATTAATCCACACCAGATTTTATGGAATTCCATCTCTGCCAAGTTACACGGCGCATGTTTGGGAGATCCAAGCAAGCCTCCCAAACATGCGCCGTCGACGGCGCATTGTCGCGTCGTGCCGTCGCATAGTCGCGTCGTGCCGTCGCGTCGTGCCGTCGCATTGTTTTGTACTGTTTGTATAAGGCCGTCGCATAGTCGCGTCGTGCCGTCGCATAGTCGCGTCGTGCCGTCGCATAGTCGCGTCGTGCCGTCGCATAGTCGCATTGTCGCATAGTCGCATAGTCGCATAGTCGCATAGTCGCATTGTCGCATTGTCGCATAGTCGCATAGTCGCATTGTCGCATAGTCGCATAGTCGCATTGTCGCATTGTCGCATTGTCGCATAGTCGCATAGTCGCATTGTCGCATAGTCGCATAGTCGCATAGTCGCATAGTCGCATAGTCGCATAGTCGCATAGTCGCATTGTCGCATAGTCGCATAGTCGCATTGTCGCATAGTCGCATTGTCGCATTGTCGCATAGTCGCATTGTCGCATAGTCGCATAGTCGCATAGTCGCATAGTCGCATTGTCGCATTTTATAGGGGCCTATCTTGAGTTTCGTCAAATGAGGGCGCGCTCGATCGTATGGAATTCCATCTCTGCCAAGTTACACGGTGCATGTTTTTCATCCTAGCGTAATTCATCCTAGCGAAAGTACATAAAAAGGAAAGATAATAAATATTATTTATGTTCCATGTTTATAGGGAATAAATGGAAACAAAATCAAATTGATTTGACAGTTTTTAATAGTGGCCATTAGTAACCATAACAATAAAAACATGTTAAAAACATGTTTGACAGATTACTTCCCTGATTCTTGGACGGAAACTTGCAGATAACCAGACACAATTAACTCAGTGGTCGAGTCCACATCACTCTTTAGTTAAGTACTTTGAAAAACAAATGCTTACCTCTAAATTAAGGAGAAACTGACCAAGTGCCCTATCATCTAGATTAAACCTTCGCAGGATACGGTGCAAGGTTCTTATACTATGCACGAAATGAAACATTAATACATAATCAATTGTGTTTCACATAATTATGAAGTTTTTTTTTTACTTTTCCCATGTACTAATTTCATAAAAAGCAATACCATGTCAGTCTCATGGGCCATATGCAACTGCTGCCAAGTGAACTTCTTTTGTGGAACTAGGCCTATTTCTTCATCTTTAATGGGGTATCTTTAAAATGTCTGTAGGGGTTTTTTTTGGCTTGCTCATGTCGGAAAGGTTCGGAAAGAATGATTCCATGGCATTTTGGCAAGGAGGGATTTGGCAAACACTTTTTCTTGCACCTCTTGATTTAATTGGATTATCTTACGTTTTTAAAAAGGACTGTTTTTCTCAAACATTATTTTTCATCATAAATTACCTGCAACGAAGACCATGTCGAATCTCAAAAATGCCACAAATTTCAGGATAGGTGTAACCAGCTGCAAAGTAATGGCAGATCAGATCATACCCTGGGAATTACATGTAAGTGAAAATATGTAACATTCATAGAAACTAGGTCAAATGGAAAACATCATTGTAGCTCAAGTTCAAATATAAGAACATAGGCCTATGTCCTAACTAAAGCTTTAATTTTTTTAGAATTAGGTCAATAGCTTTTCAACATTTCTGCAACACATACAAAGGAAATACATAGAAACAGGATGCAACATTAAACAGAGTTCTTATGAGAAGCTACAATTTATTCTCTTCTCTTCTGGATTCTAACCCTGATTATTCTAGTATTGAGTCGGTCGGAGCTGTTGAATTTGACATGCTCACTCATAGTCATAGACATGCCCAATAAAAACTTTCACTCAAGAGAGAAACATGGAGAAGCCAAACTGACCAATCAGGTGCCAGAATTCCATTTTGTGACATCACATCCGACCGATAATAGCAATAGTTACAACTACAACAAGTCAATTAAAAAATATGTATTCACAAATTAACAGTCGGAGGGGGCAGGCTATCGTTTGAATATGGAAATAAAAGTACGGTGGACCGTGTCCAACGGTATCTAGTGACGGGCGGGTCCTGCCGCGGTCCTCTATTGTATTAATTATTAGTTCTGGATACCCTCCAATTGTTTAACATATCGATACATTCGGGCGATTAACTATATAGCGTTAGGCCTAAGGCTTGCGGGTACATGCATTTCAAAAGGATACTGTTCTCTTGGCAACGCATAAAAGGATTCATTAATGTATACTCTGAAGATGTAAGCCTATTCATCTTTTGGCACGATTTCTAACTCGAAAGCAACTGGAATGTGGGGAGGATGACCAAATTAGTTGCACCCAAACACCGCACGACAGCGCCCCCTTGGTGAAGCCCTGGAAAATTAATGAATGAAAATGCGACAATGCGACTATGCGACAGTGCGACTATGCGACTATGCGACAATGCGACTATGCGACTATGCGACTATGCGACTATGCGACTATGCGACTATGCGACTATGCGACAATGCGACAATGCGACTATGCGACTATGCGACTATGCGACAATGCGACAATGCGACTATGCGACTATGCGACAATGCGACTATGCGACTATGCGACAATGCGACTATGCGACTATGCGACAATGCGACTATGCGACTATGCGACAATGCGACTATGCGACAATGCGCCGTGATCTCCCAAACATGCGCCGTGTAACTTGGCAGAGATGGAATTCCATAATATTTAGACTGCTTTCTTAATTCATCGGCGCACGCGGGCCGGTTGAGTGGCGCAACTTCACCGAGAGTTCTCACTAGATGGCTTGTCCGGTAAAAATAATCACCATTGGGGTCTCTACTCGGCGAAATGAAGAGGGGCGGAATGGGCTCCGATCAAACGCCTCGTCCGCCAGGCCAGGACGGGCGTTGTGAATGCCTGTTTGTTGCCGGAACCTAGGCTGGCGGGGTGTTGGGAACTAATACCCGCCGCACACCGTCTTCCACCGTAACCATAGGGCCGTCCCGCTCCAAGTCAGACTATCCATGATCCACTGGCCTTCGCGGGTTCTCTCCATAGCGGGGTCGGATCCCTATCCCACTGGCCTGTGTTCTCGGGCCCCCCCCCCCCCCCTTTCCCAATCCCCGGGCCCCTGCAACAGTTGGCGCTTAAATCATAAATATGCAGAACCTTCAAGGGCGCTGGGCCCCAACCGCGCCAATTACAACCACCGCTTTAAGGCATCCTTGAAGCGGTCAATTAATTTTTCAAAAGTGAATCGACAGCGGAAGAGCTTGGTGGCCAACGTTATGCGCCTATCAAGACGTGGGGATTGTCTCTTTTGTAGTGACAAAATCCCCACCTCTCAGGCAAAATCCCCGACCATGCCCCGACATTATAATGCCAATTTGAGTGAACAAAATCCCCACCCTGGGGCATGAAAAACGTGACCAAATCACGACATCGGACCTGGGGCGGGGGGGGACATTAAATTGATAGGAGGCACATTAAGTGTCTTGTGTACTCCTAGCTCCGCATGCCTGATGATCTTCTATAGGAGCACACAATAATATTAAGACACAGATCGGGAAACTCCCCGGCCAGCTGACAGGTCAATCAGGGGTCAGATGACGATCACGTTGGTGGATCTGGAATGGAAAGACTATCAGTTCAGTGCGCCCCACCTAGGTATGCCGGATACTGCCCTTAAATTGTGCCCCAGGGGATTCTGTCAACTCAAAAGTGACAATCCCTATACGTCTTCATTGGGTAGGTTAGGCCGGGAGGGGTGGCTAGACAATAATAATATCAATGATAGGCGCATTACTATTGTTTAATTTTGCAACGTTGACCTTCCATAGTTTGTACATGTAGTTGGTAAGTGCCAACCACGGGTAGGGTTTGCAAAGAAGTACACAATAATGTATAATGTTCCCACGTGCCTGTAATAGACCTAAGTCCCAATGACGTCACGGTTTGTTTACAAGTGCGCTTTCCCAGGAAAGCGCACATCAAAGCGTGACATCATTATTGGGTCAGGTAGCCAGTCTAGTGTCACCGTACGTACGCGTGTTACGTTACCGTACCGTCGGTGTACGTGCAGTTCGTGATGGGCGTACGCACTGACCGGACGGAGAGGTCATCGTATCGTCTGCTCGCATTGATCAGCTGGATGTTTTGGCTAAAAAACTTCCAGTTCGCCCCGTATATTGACAAGGAATTTGTCAAGCAAATGACGCTTATGCCTGGCTATCTTTAGTGCAAGTAGTAGGCCCTACAACTTTGTGGGAAAATTCAATTTTCTAATTATGTTGACAGGCATTTGTTGTAAACTCGGGAAAGCACTGCAACCGAAGCAGATATGTTTTCAGTCGGTGATGCGCTTTACTGGCATTACCGATCACCGACCGTTCGATATTCCTAGAGAGCCGTTCAATCCTGTTTCTGGCCGGGAACCGACATGGACGACGGCGGATGAGGCTGTTCAAATTGTCAAGTCGGGTAAAAAAATAAATAAGAAACTTCAAGCTATGTATTTTGTTTATAAACTAGTGTCACTGTCAGGCAATTTTGCCGAATCTGTTCCCTGCTCTGTGATGAAGAAGGGGAGTAGGCTCCCTCCATGTTCTAATGAGATATCGACCTGAAATTTTCATTTTGACAATATTAATACTTTTTAATAGCCCTAACACCCCTGAATCCTCCAATTTCAATATGATTTTGCACACCCCCTAGGGAGTTAGGGTTATTAATGTGGTGCTTATAATTAGCAGTTTTATGGCCAAAAAGAACACGCGTTGCTAGACACTGGCGCATTTTGGAATGAACGCATGATGACTTGGAAGCGCAAAAGTTTTCGATTGACGATGCCTATGCAGCAACGTGTGTAAATTTGCCCAGGCGTCAGCAAGATGGCGCATATTACCGTGAAACTGCTTATTATACGCTTTATACCAAAAAGGTCTCAAAGTGCGTCATAATTATTACTCCTGTTGGAAAGAATGTTACATCTTGATGCCACTTTTTTTTCATCATATATTATCTCAATGAAGGTAAGTCATTGCAAAATTTTTGAAAAGACATGAATTTGGGACTGAGAAACAATTCCAATTTTGTTAGAAAATACTTTGAAAATGCACTCAACTCTCCATAGACTAAGTACACAACCACGGAAGTGGTTCAAGGGCGTCAATCACTTGGGGGGGGGGGGGGGGAGGGGACACACCTCTGTGGTGCAATCTGAGGCAATTTCTGACCACTTTAACGTATTTGTTTTAGCAAAAGATCATCATTTAAACATCATTTTCGAGTTTGGAGTCATTGAATCAACTATTTTGAGCTATTATAAGAATCATATGAAGGCTACAATTTTTATTCAGGGATGAAAAAAGTGGGGGGGGGGGGCAAACGATATGATATCCCCCACTTTAAAAAAGGGGGGGGGGAACTTGTCCCCCCTGTCCACCACCGATTGACACCCATCTTAGGCAGGATACTACATTCTTTCCCCCCTGTTCATCAAGCAACGAGACAATTTTATCTGCAGCAGCTCGAGATAAGTGCAAACCAATGGTCTCCTTTGAAGGGAACCCATTTATAGTTCTGGGTGGAGAGAGGCAATTGTAGTAAAGTGTCTTGCCCAAGAACACAATCAATATGTCCCTCATCTGGGTTGAACCCGTGTACGGCACATGAGTTGAACGCCGTAACCCTTGGACCATGGTATTCCACAAAGATCTCATTTCACGTAGACACATTTTCACTTGTAGACATATTGAAAATGTGTAACAGCAAATGGCCAACAGTTCATTTTGGATTTTCGTTATAGGTGACCGAGTATTTGTCCAGGGTGGGGGCGCCACACCACAGGAGCTGCTTCATTCTCTGTGCAAGCATGGACGTACGGCCGGTTTGAAGGATGTGGAGTTGGTGCACATACACACTGAGGGGCCGGGAGAGCAAATGGAGCCACAATATGAGGGTAAATAGAACACGGGATAATGTAGCGTGTCCCATATGGAACACAGACGCACTACCTTTTCTGTGTTCCACGAGTGTGATAACAAATTTATCCTTAAAGGAACTTGGCGCACAGTGTCAAAAGACGGAACGTGCACTCTGGCTGTGCATCGGAACCGTGTACCCAAGTACCCGACCTTTGCTGTCGGGAATCAGTTCCAGATTATGGGATCGGGTACCCATAACCAACTTTACAAATTACTTAGTAACTTTCAGACAATGAAAAAGAAAGGTTTTGAATAACTGTTAATTCACTGTTATTCCCATTAATAAATACCTTTATAATGAAATAAACAGTTAAAATGCTCCAATTTTGTGACTTTCTTTCGGTGATATTTCCAGACTTTTTTGTGTTCATGTTCATGGGCCATATTTTAGCTATAACGACGTAAACTCAACAGAAACTGCTGCCGTAGCGAAACAAATTACAACAATGTTTTCATATCTTTACCTGATGGAGAAAGCTGAAATCTCGTTTACACATTCCTTGTGTCCGGAATTACAAAGATGCTTGGTTTAGGAAAGGTAAATATGTCGGTGGGTGAAGTGTTCAAAGAAAATAAATCGTAGATCTATGCTTTCGTCGTAAACATCCTCAGTATATACTGCACTGCTGTACGATGTCGTTTCAAAACTTCCTTACGCGCACGCACGCACGCATCCCTAGCAACTGTGTTGCGTACGCGCGCGTCAGTCTCACGAGATGGGGGTTGAGCGCATGTGCAGTGCTCAATTGTTAAAAGCTACCGCAGGACCGTTACTATATTTTGACCAATCATTGGCTTGCATGGGGCTGAACGGGGCTGGATCAATGCTGGTTCAGGGGCCATTTATTCGCTTGATCTTTGAAGCCGGTCCATTATCACCGTTAATGACCGGCCACGTGATCGAGTCTCGACCAATCAGAAACCATCAACTCTCCAAGGTATTTATTAATGCCATTTGTGGGGAATTTTCAAAATGAAAACCAGGCTACATGGGAAAACAAAACACATTTCACGTTTATGACGTGTCTTGGATATAGGCTCTACACTATACAGGTAGGTTCTACGGAATACAACAGTTCAAAACAGATGGAAGATTGTACATTATGTTATACAGTACATTTGAATGTCTTCTACATTACGCAGGTATTTTCCGGGACAACTCTATGTTCACCGGCGGCAATGCGCGCACAGCTATCGCGGAGGGCAGAGGCGACTACACTCCCATATTCCTGAGTGAGATCCCGTTGCTGTTCCGTCGCGGTGTGTTGGGCTTGGATGTAGCGTTGGTTCACGTGACTCCGCCGGATAAGCACGGCTTCTGTTCGATGGGAATCAGTGTGGATGTTACAAGAGCAGCTACCCAGAGTGCTAGATACATCATTGGTAAGTCTAACCGTGTGTCACACACATAACTAGAAATGTCACTCACGTTACCACCTTGTTACGTGTGTGACTAATTAGTTAAGCACTGATGTAATCGAGTCCATCACAAGTCCCTGCAAGTTTCTCACAAGTCCTCCAGTCCCAATTCAACTCACAAGCTATTCAAATGAGCTTGGCAAAGGCATTTCTTTGTCATTGTTCATCCACTGTTTCTTGTGACTGGACTAGTGACTGGACTTGTGATGGACTCAACTATGTCCCTGTAATTATAAGGCTTATTAATTATGCCAGTACTTTCCTTAATCAACATTCAGTGTTAAGACTTGACAGTAAAAGAAGAGTGCTTTGAAACAAGTACTTGGTGAGATATGAACATTTCTAGTATAATTTGTTTACGTGTGTGACACACAAACTAAATAAATATATTTAATCACGGAGACATCAAGATATAAGCTAAAATTCATATTTCTAATGTAAAGAATGACTCTATGCCAATTTATGCAAATTAAGGGCAACCATTACCAAATTTTGAAAAACAATCCTAACAGCTTCACAACATAGAGGTTCGAATTCGTGTTTTACCTGAAAGACACATAGGATCATTTGCATTTATCCCAAAAGTAACCTAACAAATATATTATCATCAAAAACCATACTTGGATCAAAGATCATACTGAAGAAGATCATATCGAAGAAATTGTATTTTGTGATCAAAAGTTGCGCATGGTTTTTCACTGTTTTCTCGAAAAGTGTAATATCCACTGAGCTGAACTTCAACAGGTTAGGTTTTGAAAATTGTACTTCAGATTTTGAGTGGTGTTATTATTAGAAACGAACACAATGCATGACAAACAAATGATCCTATATGCCTTTAATACTTGACCACTTCAAAAACTTTTAAAATTTTTTTTTAACATGTATAGGCCAGTTGAACAAGAAGATGCCACGGACACTAGGAGAGGGTTTAATCCACATCTCGCATTTTGATTCCGTGGTGGAGATCGACAGGCCACTCGCAAACAAAAAACCGTTAAAGATTTCCGATGAACAACGGGCCATCGGGAAATACATTGCTGAGAACCTGGTAGATAACGGCGCCACACTGCAAACTGGTACAGATACAAGTTTTAGGATTAGGTTCCATAATGCGTTAAATGCATACTGAGTTTGGAGTGTGGATGTAATTTTTTTCTAATGACTCCCTAGCATGATTTACTAGGAACCATACCCATCCTGGCAAATTCCAACACCATATGGCAAACTGCACACACTTATTTCTGACTTTGATTCTGGAGGTGTGCCAACCCAATGTAAAAGACCGTCAGTTTAGGGGTACTGTACCCATCCTGACAGATTCCAACAAAACATGCCGTTGGGGTTTGATGGGTTGGGGAGGTTATACACTTGTGGTCTTGGGCAAGACACTTTACTACAATTGCCTCTCTCCGTCCAGGAGTATAAATGCGTACCTGTGAAGGTAGAGACCAGAATGCGCTAATCTCGAGCTGCTGCAGAAAAATAAATGGTTGTATGGCCTGATGAACAGGGGTAATATTGTGAAGCACTTTGAGACCTTTGGTATAAAGCACTATATTAACACCGCATTATTATTATCATTAATATTATCCTTTTCTGTTAATGTGAAGGTATTGGCGCGATTCCAGATGCTACAATGTCTTGTTTGACTCAGCATAAGGATCTTGGTCTTCATACAGAGATGTTCAGTAGCGGCATTCTACCATTGGTCAAGAAAGGAGTCATCACTAATACTAAGAAACGTATCCACCAAGGAAAGATTGTCGGTAGTTTTGCTGTAGGGAGTCAGGAGATGTATGACTTCATGGATGATAATCAAACACTGCGTAAGCATGCAATCCTGTCCTGTAGTTTATGTAGGTATTTTATACTTACCTTAATGTTGCAGGTATATCTCAGAGGGTGTTCTCATATGTTGTGTCCTTGGGCAAGCCACTTCACCCCCACTTGCCTCTCTCCACCCAGGAGTATAAATGGGTACCGGCATTAGCTGGGGAGTAACCTGCAATGGACTAGCATCCCATCCAGGGGGAATGGAAATATTCTCAGTCCGGAGATAAAACTATCTAACTAAAAAATAGATAAAACTATCTAACTAAAAAATAGATAAAACTATCTAAAACTAACTTATCTCCTGAAACCAGAGATAAACGCCGGCCTGACGGGCCACATTGGCTCGTGACAGACTTTTTACAGGGGGTGTTCTGGGAACTGTCAAACACCACTGCCCAGTAACTCTGCCTTAACGTAAAAGGTCTGTTCTGAAAAAGTCAAAATAGATGTACACATATATGAAAACTCAATGGAAGAGTTCTAGTCGAGTAACGAGTCCGAGGTCCAAGTCACTTATTCCAAGTCTGAGTCACTTAGTTCGGGTCTGAATTTCGAGTCAAAGTCACGAGTCACTTGGTTCAAGTTTGAGTCTGAGTATCAAAGCACTCGAGTCTGAGTATCAAAGCACTCGAGTGTGAGTATCAAAGCACTCGAATGTGAGTGTCAAAGCACTCGAATGTGAGTGTCAAAGCACTCGAATGTGAGTGTCAAAGCACTCGAGTGTGAGTCTTAGTCCGAGTTCCAAGTTGCTCTGTTTGAGTCACTAGTTACTTGGTCCAAATCCGAGTCCAAGGTCTGCGTCACTTGGTATGATTCCAAATTCAATTGCCTTTAAATCCTGGATTCAGTTGCTGCTTGGTGACAAATTTTTCCCTCATTTCTTGTTTTTAGTGATGATGGATATTGCCCACGTGAACAATACCTCGGTCATATCACAGAATCCCAAAGTGACTGCCATCAACTCTTGCATTGAGGTGGATCTGACAGGCCAGGTGGTTTCTGATACTATTGGGACCAGGGTGTACTCAGGTTAGTTCTTAGAATGCCATGGTCCAGTGGTTACAGTGTTCGACTCATGTACGATGGTTCGGGGTTCGAACCCTGCCAGGAACTTGGTGTTTGTGCCCTTGGGCAAGACACTTAACAGCAATATTAGCAATGTTGCAAATGTATTCTTCAGAGTTTGTATGGCTTCTGACTAGCGCCCCTTGAACAAAGACATTGACAGTGGTTACAGTGTTTGACTCGCACACCATGGGGTTCAAATGCTGCTAGGAACATGGTGTTTGTGCCCTTGGGTAAGACACTTAAGTACAATTGCCTCTCTCGTCCCAGGAGTATAAATGGGTACCTGTGAGGGTCGAAGAGCAATTGAGCGCTGATATCGGCTTCCGTGTGGTCCCATGGCCTGATGAACGGGGAATAATTGTAAGTGCTTTGAGATTGTTGATACGATGGAAAACGCTATATGAGCACTACACTTAGGAGAACCGCCAACATAGGGCTGGATAGCTCAGTTGGTAGAGCACCGGAACGGCAATCCGGAGGTCGCAGGTTCAAACCCTGCAGGTTCAACTCTAAAAAGTGGTTCTTTTGATTGATATTTTAGGTGTTGGCGGACAAGTTGATTTCATTCGTGGAGCAGCACTGGGTTTTGACGGACTCGGCAAACCCATAATAGCCATACCATCAGTCACCAAACGAGGAGAGAGTAAAATAGTTCCATTCATCAAAGAAGGCAAGATAACATGTGGCAAAGGGAATAAACATGTGCTTGGCCAGTTTTAAACAAGTACGTTTTTCGGGCCTGTACGCGGATCGTTATCAGCGTCCAGGCCCTTAGCCAATTTTAACGTACTCGTTTAGTACCGGCTAAGCACATATTTATTCCCATTCATAAATACCTTTCGTTCAAAAAGTCAAAGCAAATCAGAAATGATCAATTTAACAAGTTTTCTTAAGGTTTGGGGAAAACACCTCTAGCTATGGTTATGGTATGTGCCTCATGCGAGTAGTACTAAAAAATCTCCTTATATGGAGATTGGCGCGCGCGTGGTGCGTTCTGACTTTTTTTTCTCCATTTAAAAAAATTTTATTTCCGCATTTTCTTTGCAAACAGGTGCTGGTGTGGTGACTTCCCGCGCCCACGCCCATTACATTGTCTCCGAGCATGGTATCGCGTACTTGTTTGGCAAGAACCTCCGACAGCGTGCCCACGCGTTGATCCAAATCGCTCACCCGGACCACAGAGAAGCGCTGGAGAAAGCTACCTTTGAGCGACTGAAGTGTATGCCGTCACCGTAAGGGCCAAACACGTAAGCAGATACCCCAGCCAACCAGCGGGGAGGGGGCCAAGGAGGCAACCTTTTTGGTATCTAATTTTAAATTTGTTTTCATGAAATGAAAATTTGTTTTCAGGAAATGAAAATGTACTTCATGTAGTAGTAAAACCCTCCCCCGATTATTTTAATTTTTGCAAACGAAAAAATTTTTTTTTTTTTTTTTTCAGAAAAAAAGACCCATTTTGCCCCAATTTATTCATTTTATTTATTAATATTGTATTAAATAAAAAGGAAATATTAGCGCTACTTCAAGCAGTTTTTTACCATTCATATAATAAAAAAAAAATCAGGCTACTTTCAGGGAAAAAAAACATCCATTTTGCCCCCCCCCCCCCCCCACAATTTGGATATGCCAGTGTGTTGTTTTTTTGACCGCAGCTTTTTACATTATTTTGGTTCACACAAACAAGAATGGTGAACTATTTATTGACCGTTTGTCAATTTATTCAGGTCCAAACAGATCATGTTGTTATTTGCATGGTGAAGGGTGTAAACAATATTTCCACAAAAAATAACGACGATATACAAATTTCCGAAGCTCATTGTTTTCCAAAAATTGCTCATAAATAGCACGAAGTACTCGCGACTTATTTATCCTGAATGTGCACAAAGCCATGGCATCTTCGCATGGGCGTCAGGCGTGATCGGCGTTGCGTTCGAATGCCTGGTCTCCCCCAACTCTCCCTTTCTTGCCACTGAGGGGGTACTTGTGCATAAAGCCTGCATGTTAAGGCTGATTTCTTCATGTGACCCTGTGTATAGGCTATAATGCTGTCCTTTCATGTAACTATTGCGCATTTTTCAAGTTGTAGTGAGTACATGTGTAGCAGTGTTGGAGGTCTCGAGTCCGGCCTCGGCTTCGAGGCCGATTTTCAAGGCCAATTTTCACGGCGTCGGCCTCGGAGCCTTCCGGACTCGATGAATCTGGTCTCGGACGGCTCGAGGCTGCCTACTATGACCAGTTTCCCACCAAGTCACGTGTTTTCTGTTTCAATTTTAAATTTTTACCGTATCAAACTTTCGAGTAGCTACCATAGTGGGTTCCGTGAAACGAAATAACATTTAAAGCAGATACGCGCGAATGAATGAACTGGTATTTGCGTTACATTGCAGCACGGAGCTATAGCTCCATGATTGCATGTACTCACGTACGTAGCGTCTTCTCGTAGAACCAGTCTACTCCCACTATAGACCTGTTCCTGGTCCACCACCATTTGGTAGCATTCACCACTTAGTCATTTTGATACTTGCACAAATACCAATTGGTTACAGATAAAGAATGTCTGTTAACTGTTTTCCAAGATATCCTAACACAAATTCCTGTAAAAAAAGGTAAAGGTAAAGATCCCATAGCCATTATTGGCCGTAGGGGCAGTGGGATGTTAGAGGTCCACTGTGTCTTGGGCGCGGCATATGAGTGGCGGTGCCCAGTCCTCTCCTCTCACCGTCTTACCTTCCCTGAACGAATCAGGTACCCGTTTTACTGTTGGGTCGTCAGAGAGAGTTTTCCAGTTTTTGGTTCCAATGGGATTCGAACCGCCAACCTTCCACTCCGTAGCTCCACGCTCTAACTGGATCGGCTACGAGGCCCCTCTTATTCCTGTTAATGTGTCCTTATAAAGGAGACATTTTTTTCGTCATAAGTTATACCTTGGGGAGACAAGGTTGATTAAGGAGACATTTTAAGGTCTTCCTAATATCACAATTCCTCTTTAGAGGCAAAATTAGTGTCCCAAATAGGCTAGATCGATTGCTCATGGTCCAAAAAATAAATGTACCAAAGTTCGTGGGGGTAGGATCAGGTAAAATATTAGGTATCATGAGAGTTTGAAAAATTTGTGCACAACCATATGGTAATGTCTCCCAATGGCACACGTACCTTTCTTTAAAAAAAATAATTATCGTTATTATTAATTTATTTCTGGTAATGAAACCAAGGATTCCTCAAAAGCGCCCTAGGCACTGTAGCTCGCAAGCCTGAAGAAACCTGTAGAGAGAAGACAATGAGAAGAAATTTAGTTTTAGAGGTGGGAGGAAAACCCAGAAGAATATTCTGGGGAAAACCCGCGGAATCAGGTAGGGACTGAAAACCCAATCCACATGTGGACCAGGGCAGGAATCGAACCCAGGCCACAGCGGTGAAAGGCGAGGATAGCACCACTGCACCAACCTGACCCCCCATAAAATAAGGCCCATAATTCATCACATGATTTCTTTCTTCATTTGACAAGATAAATTACCAAACAAACAAGTTTAATACCTGTTTTTTTTGTCTTGATAGATGTCAAAAAATGGTTGGCGGAAAGATAATGGTTCTGATGAATTCTTACGAATGTGCTTTTTGATAGAGATTGGTTCACTACATATGATTTATGCAATTACAAATATTATAAGAAGTAACTTCATAAGATGAATGCTTCAGCGCAATTAAAAGAGAGGCTTTAAAAGTTCTAAACTTATTTTATTGTATTTTGTTTGGGTAGGTATTTTCCAACATTTTGATTTAGAGTGACAGTGTTTTTGAAATACTGGAAAGTGAAAAAGTGTTAATGTAATTGGCACGTGAAGTGAAGTGGACTCTTCTTCATTTTAATCCTCGGTTAAAAATGCAGAATACATGTATTAGAGTTATTGAAACATTTTTCATGCTGTAATTTTCAATTTAGTAATGTTTACATTTGACAACTATGTTATATTTTGCCAACAACTAAAGTTTGAGTTGTAGTAGCATATATTGACCTCATCAAACACGATTTAATGCAAATCAAATAACCCACTGGAAATTAATCAAATTTCCTAGGTGGTGAGCCATTACTTAAGTGCTCGAATTGTTTTGTCACTTAAATAGCTTCACAGCCATCCTTTGTAAAACAAAATGGGAGAGCAGGTTGCATCTAACGCAAGGGCCCATTTTCAAAATTTGGGTTCTGTTTAAATGTTTCGGAAAATTTGCATATGGACAGTCAAAAACCATGTAACATGTGGAGTTTGCGCAGTCTAAATTAATACTGATTAGTAACAGCAACACGTTTATCTTCCTGCCTCTGTCATGCAAAGTAAATAGAGTTGGTTTTGTCATGTAGCTGAACATCATGTTTTTGTAGAGTTTACATATTTATGACATTTGTGCTTGTGCAAATGGCAGGGGTACAGGCAAATGTATTTTGACATTAATGTGTTATATGGTTGTGCTTTCTTCCTACGTTTATGCAATAGAAAATTATATTTTTTCTTCAACTTTGTGTGCATTTTGGTTAAAATGTAGCTCTGCAATATCTTGAACTAATATGGCAATAATAGTAATCTTGCAACTGCTAATACGCGCACATGTTGTTCATTACTAGATAAAACCACCATGCCACTATCATGTAGCGTGTCTCTGTACTTTTCATTTTCTTAATTCCTTTGTGGCTAAAAGTAAGGAACAAATACCATAAAATGACATCCATGTTAGTAGTATTGCTGTAAGCACATTTTGTATGCATGTGCACACATAAACATCATGAGAGAGGTTTCGCTTGAGAACGGTTACAGCAGGCATGCAACTTTTCCTCGAATCCGCTGATTTCCTCGTTTTTTACTTTTCATGAATGCCATTACATGTTGAAAAACACTGTGCAGAGTCTTGTGTGGTTTGGAATTTCCTTGTTTTCTCGAAATTCCCGGTTGCATGCCTGTTACAGTTAGCAGGCAAGATACGTCATCAGTTTATGTGGTCTTGTGACATCGTACATAACTTGCTGTCTGCTATTCGTGTAAACAGCACGGATATCACGCGCTGCGCATCAGTTTGAAACGCATAGTAAATTGTCAATTTTCACCCTCTTTTCTGATGTTATGTAATCGTGTATGATTTTGATTGAAAGAGGACAACAGGCTGAGCATAGATGTGTTATTTGTCTGTGTTTCAAAGCAGGATTAGCCGCAGATACAAGGCCTTCATTGGAGGCTGTCATTTTGGATTACCGCTTTTATTACTAACAGTTCGGATAACTTAACATATGCGTACGCGTACATGATGCGAAACACATATACTGGAATTTGTATCCTTGTGGAGTCATTTCTTTGTTCTCGTGTACTAAAGTTTTAGAGTTTGAAAGTGTAGTTTCAAAATGCTCCTATTTGAAGCAGAATTATTTTCCTGGGCTGAAATTCGGACTTAATATCCCTTACATAAAATACTTTAATTTGCGACGATCAACACACCTTGGAAATTCCTAGTTTTTGAGTAAAATCCATATATCTATTTCGTGATAACCTTGTGGCGACGTATTCACCCATAGAAATTGCTCTGTGGAGACGTATATACAATCTTTTGTTCCCTATTATGCACATGTCTCCACAGGGTACCGTGTATCAGATCAACAGAATGGTGAAAAACAATAGCAGATAGCTAAACGTATGCACACATATATCCGTTCCGGTGTAAAACCTCTCTGTATAATTGCCCAACCATGCCTGTGTTCTTGCCTGCTCTATGCATTCATTACTTCACTAATATAATTGGTGTAAGTTGCTTGTGCCATGCCCTTCCAAGCCACTCTAACTATGCTTAAAGCTTGTCATTTGGCGCCTCGTAAAACAGCATTTTATTTGTAGTGTTCGCAGAAGCCGAGTACTACTGCAGCGTCTGCTCCAACATCATTGTTGTGTGTAACAAAGTATAACATTTCTCTGTTACGCCTTTAAACCTACTACTACTTAGAGTAGACCATTTACATCTATCAAAAAAGTTACCGACCTTATTATTTAAAAAAAAATTACTTGTTTTAAAGATAGTAATGACACATAACTCCCTGTGAAATTATTCCTTCTGGCATGCTGTCATTTTGAAGAAACAATAAAAGGTCATTCCCAAAGATATGTCAAGTGACGCATTTTTGGAAATTTCTGTTGGCAGTTAGTTTGTATTAATTGGGCGAATCCGTGAATGGGTGCAAGCGGGTGGACACGACACACACTCGCTCGTGGTTGCAATTATTAGCGAGAATCGTCGGTACAGTGTGTGACATCACGTAGCAGCAATCGGCTGAATGAGAATCACGTCCCGAATGCTGATTTCGGGATGGTGTCATGACTCAGCAACTTTTGAATTGAAATGGACATCCAGAATATTGTGTTTTCTTGAAATAATACAGCATTCACAGAGCTAACACTTCATTATTATTTGAGTAACATTTGCCTGTTACACACTTGTTGGGGGGGGGGAGGGGGGAGGTACCCCCCCCCCCCTTTGGCCTGCAAAAAAAAAAAAGGAATGCAGAAAAATGTAGCACATGCCTGCTAAACCCCCCTCAACCCCCCCCCCCCCCCCAATGCAGAAAAATGTAGCACATGCCTGCTAACCCCCCCCCCAACCGGCTCCGCCCCTGCACATTCCTTTTTTTTTTTCAAATGTAGATTAGCCAGTAGGGAGTTTGTATATAGCTTGGATTAAACAACAGTTCTAAAGTGACTATTATTAGGAACGTGGTGTGTGCCTCCTGTAGATCTATCTAGTTTTTGGAAATGAAATATAATATAATAAAGGTGATATCTTTGCAGTTTGGAATAGTCATGTTGAGATAGTTTGCTCTAATATATGCTTAAAAGCAGTTTTATTAAAAAGATGCAAATTATAGTATACAGAAAAAAATTGTGAATGTATTTTTGTATTGCTTGGTAAGTAAGATTTGGTACTAGATTTTCAATGAATGCTTGTTTAATGAGCTTTAATATGCTGGATATTGATGATGTACATGTATGTTATGAACTGCCTATATTCAATATAGATATAATGGTGTTTAGGTATTATGCTTGCTATAGTGTTTCCAATTTTTTAACCTTCCAAAACTTATCTGAATTAACACAGGTTGATGTGGTTTGGATTAAGTTTTTTTGTTTACAATGTTAAATTAGTACCCTTGTCTCACAGTCTACGTCAGCATAGAACTTGAAGACAGGAGTTCTGCAGGTTGTAGGTTCAAGTCTAGCCTGTGCAGTTGTGTCCTTGGGCAAGGCACTTTATCATAACTTGCTTCTCTCTACCTAGCAGTAATTGGATACCTGTGGGGCAGAGGTGGTTATGTTATGGGAATCAGTCATAAACAAGGGTATGTAGAACATTGATTGTCAATATTAATTGATATCACTTAATAAATCCATATTATTCATGTTATTATCATTATGTTATTATTAATTGCAAATTTTGTACGTGCTATTTTATTTTGTAATATCATGTGCTTGGATACTGCAAGTTCATTGGTCGAGAACAGCCAAGTGCCCAGCCTGTAAAAACGCATACAATTCCCGTTGTGCGTGTGCTGTAGATTGAACCTGCACGCGCGGTCGTAACTGAGAACTGCATGCAATGCACAACCGCTCAGTCTCATGTCCAGCAGGATAGCCTGCAGTTATCAAGGGTTACACCGCAGTGAATTGAATTATTCCTTGCGTGTAATAAGTTACAACTATTTATCGTTTTGACTCATTGGCACGATATGACAAAACAGTTGTTGACTGCTGTGATGTGGGATATGCCATTTTGAACCCCCTCAGGCTGGGGCCGTGCATAGCACTCTTGGCTCCGCCTTGGGTGCTATGCGCCCCTCGGGTGTTAAAAATGGCATATCCCACATCACAGCAGTCAACAATTGTAAAGTATTGACTTTTGTTACGGTGAGATTCTCCCTTTAAAGTAATTTAGCCCTCACATGCTTGTTAACATTATTTGTTCTGTGTGTGTAAACACTACAAAAAGTGGTTTCATGACTGAAATCTCAATATGGACAAGCTAGAATCTCGTGAAATGTTAATCTTGTTTTGAATTCTGTGCGAGAAAAATCATCTTAACATTGTGAAATATGGCATCATCTGTTCATGTTCAGGTAGAGTAGGCCAGTGTGAAATGCTATGTTAGTGGTTTTATTTCTTGATATTATTTTTGTCAGTATTAATAAAAAAATATATATATAAAGGAGTCGAACCTGTGTTCACAGGAACGGAGTGCCCATCTCTCTTTCATGAGTGATTGGGCCAGGGCCCGATTTCACGGCGCTGCTTAACAGTTAGCAGAAAAGTTGTGTTTAGCATAGCAGAAAAATTTGCTAACCTTAAGCACTATTTCACGGCGTGTGTGTGCTAACAGTCGCGCGTGCATGGAGATTTCTATTGTTACGTCACTAAGTTAAGCAAATTTTTCCTCCGAAGTAAGCATGCCTTTTGCTGTGCTTATGGTCTCCATGAAATAGACGGAGGCTCTGTTAGCAGAAAATTGTGTGCTTAGCAGCGCCGTGAAATTGGGCCCAGATATGCTGCTGTGGGGGGATCGCCACACCTCCTCCACAGCGAGTCTCTTACCTTCCCAGCATTGAATCATGCCGGTACCCATTTAACACTTGGGTTGAGAGGAGTAATTGAGGTAAAGTGCCTTACTCAAGGGCACAACATGTATGGCCACGGCGGGGCTCGAACCAAAAACCTCACAATCATGAATCCTGTGCTCTACCGCTAGACCATTAATTATTTAATTAAGTATTAATTAAAGACTTGTATTAATTAAAGATCTGTACTTTTTTGGACAAAATTTAGAGTGGGCATGAAAGTGTTTTAATCAAAATGGTGCTGTGTTAACATGACGCTCATTTGCATAAAAGTAACACTCAGATCTGATTGGGAAAGTAAAAATTTAAACTGGAAACGTTAAAGACAATCACAAAAATGTAATTGAAAAACATAAAGTCAGCATGTTTGAATATATATATTAGCACTATAAAGAAAAGACATTTAACTTCGACTTATTTGTTACAACTACAAATAATAAATAGGTCAAAATAAATAAATTCTTAAGAATTAGCTAGAATCAGTCATTCTATAAACAACTTAATAACACAGTAAAGCAAAAAATGCTTGAATGTGTCAGAACATTTTTGTGGTTTAGTGGTGTATTAGAAAATTTGTGTGAAATTCTTAAGGAAAAAGGGTAACCTTACTACATACATTGTATTTTATTTGACTAGTCCTGATTAATGGATGAGAATTCATTAACTTTAACCAGCCCAGTCATAGGTTATGGTTAAGAATTTGTAAAGATTAGTTATTCATATCTTACTACCTTCTTAAAATACTGTCCCCGCCTAGTTGTAAAATTACTAGAAGTGATATCCGTTTAAAAAAGAAAGTGTGTGTGCTGCTGTAAAACTGCGTTACTTTCTTGTTAGCATTTAACCTTATACAGGGTAATTTATCGAATAAACAAGAAATTGTAAAATTTTCACCCAAATTGATCTCATTCTGTGTCCAGATTGTTGTGTTTATAATCATCGGTCAAATTCAATCATGTCCATTGGACCAAGAAATTGACTTCTTGTTTTAATGATTTGAAGTTCACTCCAATCCCACGCTACTAAAATCTTATCTGCCCATTGCAAATTAGAAGTACACAAAAATCCTTCAATATCTAATAAAAAGTTTACTATTAAATGTGATCACTATCATTGATGCACAATTCATAAATGCCTAAGACAGTTTACCCATTCCTATTGGTCGACAGCCCGTCACGTGGCCGGTCTTAAACGGATGATAAAGACATGGCTGACTGGTCTTGAAATTTTGACTTCTGTGAAAAACTAGGATAGAAAAAAGTGCGAGTGCACAATAAGCTGTGGCCGTGTTGCAAAGAAGGGTTGCATGCGACATGAAATCGATCAAAATGATCGCTGCCAGAGCTTAAAATGAAATCAATCCCTGCCAGAGCTGAAAAATGCGATAACGATGGCACATATGGAACACCATACTTTTGGTCAATTTTCCGGCGACAGACAGATCGACTAACCGACCGACCGACCACCAAGTGACATGTAGGAGCTCATGCCATAGCTCAAAAATTGACCATCCCTTCAGTGATGTTTTGGCTTTGCCAACTGTAGTGCAAAATGGCAAATTCCAACTCTACGCTCATGTTGTGACAAGTCACATACAACACCCGCAAAATATAAAATAGCCAAATGACTTACACAATTATGCCTTTAATGCTCATTACCGCTATTATTAATACATATTCATGTTAAATGTCATGCCCCGCACTGGTTTGTCGCAGAATTGGTGGTCATATGTTCCTCCCCCCCCCCCCACTGAGTTTTGACTTGAAACTCACGATAGTAACTTATGACTTTACTTTGTTACTTTGACATAGTTACAACGCTGCTAATCTAGACCCTTTAATAAATTGAACATACCTTTCTAGTGAAGTGAATCTTAGTGTTCATGAGTATGAGGCTTATTGGCTACAATAGACTACCCTTATGTTAGTCTGGAGCCATTACAGGTTGCAATGTATCGATGCGACGGCACTCTGAGGCATCATACAATACTACATATGCTGTGCACAAAATCAAAAACATTCCCGTTTTGCATGCAAGTCGACGAGACCGTGCCTATGGAGTTGGCGAGAAATTAGTCTAAAAACTCACTTTATTGTCAAATTAGGTCGGATTTGAAAGTCGCCCTAGCTTAACAGAGGTATGGTGTCTCTACAAATCCCATGATTGGGGAAACTCCCTAAAGGCTAAAAAGTTTTTGACTACAAAAGGACCGCAAAGTTAACCTATCGGACCAGACCTATGTTTGAAATCTGTAAGGCTTATAGACAAATCTGGCGGCAGCCATTTCTATGGTGGCACCAGGCTTGCCTGAGTCATGTTCAGGTAGTACACATCAATCCGGGCTCCTTCGACCACAGGGAATACCAAAATACGTGTGCGATTAAGATAGAACGTGTGCAGCATGCACATGAGCGTGACACCACCGCAGTAAAAGCTTTTTATTGTGGTCGCCGGATTCCACTATAGACAGCCTTACAGTTTTGGAAGTAGGCCATCACAACATGGCTGTTTCAATCCTGGCAGGCTTTCTGTAAGAGCTCTGCAGTAGTTATACCGCTCAACACATCCAACTGGGATATGCTGACATTGAGTGTCGTTGCAGCCCACGTCACTACCTCGACCGCCATGAGCGAATCGACCCCATAATTAATCATTGGTTGCTGAATATCAATGCTGTTGGCTGAGACAAACAGTAACTCGGCCAGTTTCTCCTTGAGGGCGCCCTCCACATCTTCAACAGTCTTCTCGACGGCGGATGTGCCTGGACTATGAGTGGGACCACACCCAGCAAGGTGACGAAACTTCATGCTGGAGCTGTGGCAGAATTGCATGGTAGTGCTCCAGTCCTGTGAGGCAAAAATACACCAATACCATCTATCAAAATGATGCATACAGTCGACTCTTGTGAATTCAAACTCGTTCGGACCTAGCCAAATTGTTTGTTACATCAGAATTTTGTATTAAGAGGAACATCAGTCCCATTCATCGTGCACATAAATGCACAGTTGGGACCAAGGCTTTGTGTTTGCTCTTACCAGAGTTTGTATTAACAGTGTTTGTACTAACCAGAGTCAACTGTACATAACTTTGAAAACAGCACAACTTCCAAATAATTCACAAGCAAAAGTTGGAATGTTCAGATTGTTTGTTTAATTAACTTTAATGTATCTGATAAGGGTTGACCAAAATAACACAAATGTGATTATCAATTTTCCCAGATTCCATTCCTACTTCATTCCATATTCGTTTTTCCTACACTACACATCTTTGGTTTTCTTCCACTTTTTTCCATTTTAGTTTACTTCCAAAATTACCTTTGCCAGATGTAAATCATCTCTAATCAATCGAGTTACCCGAAATGTTTATTATGCAGCATTCCGTTTCGACTGAAAATGACTTAGGATCCATTGGTGACAGGCTGACTGCATATTGCAAGACAAATGTTAGGAATTTGCTTGGGTTTCCACAAAGGATGTATGTTCTGTGTGTCATTTGATTCAAACTTAAAATGTAAGCTGTTGGAAACGGCAATCAAAAGGTAATTAAACCTTGCTTTTTAAATTCCCTCCAACATTAATAACATGTCAGTTTAGGTAACTTGAATGCATACTATAATGTCCAAATTATCAGTTGATACTCCTTCTTAGATCCTAGTCAAACCCTCAACAATCAAGATTAAGAAAAGAAAGATGTATTGATATGAACCTTACCTGGTTGGCAAGGCATATGACTGGTTTCTCGTATCCTGTCTCGATCAGTCTTTGAAGCATCTTCAGGAACTCCACCACATGCAGTGACTTATTGCCTTTGCTAGCAAAGATTTTGGCTACCTCCGGCTTCCCTTCCAAGTAGCCGGCTCCACGGATTGGCCCTAGCTGCACTGACAATGCGGGCAGCCCGTGCTGATAACGATGTACGGCTAGTGCATCAAGGTACGCATTGGCAGCTACATAGCCAGGCTGGGAGGCATGTGCCCAGGTTGCACACACCGACGACAGCAGGAAGAAGACGTCCAAGTCATCGGACAAAGTCAGACTGTGCAAGTTCCTCGCACTAGTAGCCTTGCTATCTATGATAGCATCTAGATCCTGAGGGCTGAGTGTATCAAGTGACTCATCAGCTATCACGCCTGCAAGATGAAACACACCTCCTAAAGGTGGTGCCATGCGTCTTAGCTCAGTAAGCATATGTGATGTTCTGAGTTGGTCAGACAAATCACACTGTAGTTGATACGTGTGGATTCCGTGCTTCTGGAGATAACTGATTGTGCTTCTGGAAGAAGCAGTTGATGGCCCGGTGCGTGAAACCAAAGCAATGTGGCGTGCTCCATTAGCAGCCAGCCAGCGCGCCATAGCCTGACCTATACCTCCGTACCCTCCTGTTATTAGGTAAGTGACTGAAGACTTAAACAGCTTCGTGGAGGGAATGAGGTGATCAGCTGGGATTTGAAAGTCAGGCATAACCTCAAAGACATATTTACCAATGTGTGTGCCTTTTGCCATTGTCTTAAATGCATCAGAGAAAGAGCTCATGTCGCAGACTTGAGTTGGAACTGGATGCAGCCTCTCGTGCTCAATCAGGCAAATGACATCCTCTAGCAGAGTGCCGACTAGAGATGGATTAGATTGCATCAGTGCGTCAATCTGACAGCTGAGGAAGCTGACGTTGTTCATCAATGGGCTCATCTGGAGTGTGGAATTCTGCAGGATGTCACGTTTGCCAATCTCACAGAAACGACCCTCTGGCTTCAGAAGGGCAAACCCTTTGTGTAGTAGCTTACCCGCCAGAGAGTTTAGAATGACATCAACGCCTTGGCCACCTGTCCATCTCATCACGTCTGTATAGAACTGATCTGAACGGGAATCTGTGACATAAGTCAACCCAAGGGTGTCCTGAAGATACTTTCTTTTTTCTTTTGTGCCGGCAGTTGCAATGATCTCGGCACCCACCATCTTAGCAATCTGGATTGCAGCAAGACCAACCCCTCCACATGCTGAATGTATTAAGACTTTCTCTCCTTCTTGCAGCTTTGCCTTTTGAATCAAGCAATAGTATGCTGTGACAAACACCATACCAATGCCAGCGGCTTCAACCCAGTTCGCACGTGAGGGTTTCTTGACGAGAAGCTGGGATTTACAAACTGCATGAGAAGCAAAGCAGTTTGTACCGAAACCAAGCACCTCGTCTCCAACCTGAAAGCGTGTGACTTCACTCCCTACTCTGTGAACAGTCCCGGCACATTCGAGCCCAAATTGCGGTCTATCCTCTGTAAGGATTAACTCATCGAGCATACCCAGTGACACCATTACGTCTTTGAAATTCAGAGCTGCTGCTTTGACTTTGACAAGAACCTCAGCTGCATTGACCTGCATCTCAGAATGTAACATAAAGCCAACATGTTTAACAGTGGTACCCTTTTCACCGGCAGCAGCATCATTGTATTTCTCTGGCTCCAAACTCCAGTATTTGTCTTTACTATCATGGACAACTTTGTCCTGTGTTTTGACAGGCATGAGACGGGGTACTCTAAGCTCACCACTGCGAACAGCAATCTCTCTCTCCGGTGAGTTAGGGTTGAGAATCAAGGCAGATAAGTGAGCCACTTTCTCTTGTATCCAGCTGTTTGGATCCAGATCAAGACAGATTACTGGGACTGGCAATTGGTTGCTCGCTGCTCGTGCAAATCCAACAACCAACTGGGCACTGGTGTTGTGGCATTCAATGCAGGCACCCTCAGTCACCACCCAGAACCGAGATATGATGTCTGATTTCTGTGCGACTGCTTGCATTAACCTCAATAGACAGTGCAGCTTGCCATCTGCTGGACCCCAAATATACACCACATCCACAGGATGTTTGGTTCTTTGTAGAACAGTGGAGTAGTCAGTATCGGAAGAGTGACGTACATCTTGTTGAGGTGGCCCTAGGTGATGCTTCAACTGTTGGTTCAACATTTCTTGTGATGTGTCTGAAATCAGAATCCAGTGATGACCCGGCGTAGAGCCACCTATCGATGTTGTCAGCTCCTTTTGTGAGGAGGTAGATGACTTGCAACCAAGCATGACACTATGGAAGTACTCACTTGGAGTGGAACATCCAACGACACTATCAAAACCACTTCGTCTGAGTAGTTCAACCCATTCATGTTGCGACATCCAACAACTGTTTGTGCGAAAATCTTGGTATGTCCAGCACATTTCAAGACTACCAAAGATCAATTCTTGACAGTAGTTACCCTTTGTTGTCTCCATAACTAGTAACCAACCACCCTCACCTAGCAGGCTTCTTAGATTCTCTGTAGCCAAATGCAAGTCTACTGCAGAATGCAGAGCATCTAGGGAGATGAGAATATCGACAGATCCTGGCACCAACCCTTGCGCTTCTGGGTCTTGCTGGAAGTCAAAGACCTTGTACTTCACTTGCGGATAGTCTTGTAGATTTGCCCTTGCTCTAGGAAAGAAGGACTGACTGATATCTGTGAAGATGTACTGTAGGTTCTCTGCTACACCTAGACACTTAAGGTTGTCCAGAAGAAGCCTGGCAAACCCACCAACTCTTGCACCAACCTCAAGAATCCGTATTACTTTCTTCTTTTTCGAGAGTTCCAGCACAGACTTGGACAGAAGATCAATTATAGCTTTGTAGTAGATGTTGATGCTGGATGCGCTGTTAAAATAATCCTCAAGGAATGAGAACAGCAGGTTCAGTGAGGAGAGAGGATTCCTCAGGCAGTTTGGAAGGTTCTCCCCCATTGCTCTGATCATTGCACATTCGATGGCTGTATCTGGAGCACTTCTCGAGACGTCATCAAGATAGTGAGGAATGTCTTCCAGTGGGAAGGATTCCTCATTGCTTGCAGCTGAGCTTTGAAGATGGCAGCTATAGCGTGCGCAGATGCCTCTTTCATTTTCAGGCACCTCCCTCAGAGCATGTCTGATGTAAGACAATGAGGCACGGCGGAATACATCAATCTTGTCTTCTCCTTTGTCAACAGCATCCATTTCATCAGGAAAGTGATTCCGCAGGTAGTGCTCATGGAAGATGTCACTCATCAAGCTCGTAGACGGTAGACATGCTGCAGAGGGCTGCCATTCGATGGCATAGAGGCAAGTCTCCAAATCAACTGTGCTCCGAGTGCCACTGACATTCTTACACTGACATCCCAGAACTTTTACCAAGATTACTCCTTCCTGGTCTGTTAAAGTGACATCACCAACCACGTTCCAGCTATCACACTCGGTAATCTTGGCATGTATCAACAATGGAAGACCCAGTGGCATGTGGGAGACAAACATTTGAAGAGACTGGACGTGAACTGGGAGATATAAGGTAGTGGTTTGTCTCACAGCTGCAAGAAGGACCTGAAAGCAGCCATCAAGGGTTGTCACATCTAGACACTGCCCATGCTTCTGCGCTGGTTTGAGGTAACCAACAGCTTCCCTGTCTCCCATCACAATCCTATCGATGACTTGAAATGCTGGACCATACTTCAATCCAACTTCTGCAAAGGATGAATAGAGATTCTCTGCCGACACACTGACTGCACAGGTCTTCAGGATGTCATCAACAGGTAGAGTAAGCCTGTGCTTTGGATGGGGCTTGATGTCATCTATCTCAGCATCACAAACTTTATGCTTATCACCCGTGATACTCACAACTACACCCCTCGTCTCAAAAGACAACTGGACTCTTGTTTTTTCTCCTAATTTTTTCACCTTCTCTGGCCAGACAAGCACTTTGACGAAATTGATCTTCTTCACAACGAATGGCTGTTCAGCTGACATGCACATCTGTAGGATATAACTTATGTAACCAGCACCTGGGAAAATGACCTTATCTTGAACGACATGATCTGACAAGAAGGGAAATTCCTCTAAACTCACACATCCGTTTGCTGTTTTGAAAGTGGGGTCCGTTAACACAAGTCGTGTGTTCTTCTTGTTCTCTGCTTCAATCCAATAGGACTGTTTCTGCCAAGGATATGTGGGAAGTCGCAACCATTGTGCCGTATCGTGGGTGATGTTCTTCCAGTCTATCTTGACACCAGATGTATACAGAGTTGCAAGAGCTTGTAAGACCACAAGTCTATCATCTTGCTTCCGTTTACCACAGGCGATACTCGTGATTTTACCAGGTTTTGACACACTGGCAATCTGGTTGACAGAAGAGATCAAGGTAGCAGATGATGCTATCTCCAAAAAGATTACAGGCTGCACTTCATCTAAAATCTTCTCAACCGCATCTTGGAACTGAACACAGCCTCGGATGTTAGCCCACCAGTAGTCTGTTGAGAAGACGCCATCGTACTTTTTCCCGAAGGCAGAGGAATAGAATGGAATGTCGTTGAATCTTCCTTGAGTCAAAACTGCCCCGTCCATTGCTTTCCGAAAGGGTCTCTCCATTGGCTCCATGTCTGGGGAGTGGAAGGAGCACTGGACCCGCAGTTGTTTGGCTAGTGAAGGATTCTCTTGGCAGACTTGTTGGATTGACCTTGTTGAGCCAGCAACGGTTATGTTACTTGGTGCGTTGATAGCAGCGATATGGAGGTTGTGATACTTGGAGCACATTGCTTTTGCTTCAAGCAGTGAAAGACGAACTGCTGCCATACTACCCGTTCCCTTCAGCATCACTTGCTGTTGGCTGCGATGATATATTACTGCCACAGATTCTTCCAATGTAAGGCCTCCGCAGGCATAAGCAGCAGCAACCTCTCCTAAACTATGACCAACGCAGACATCGGGATGGATGCCCCAGTGATTCAGCAGCTCATACAAGCCAAGCTGGAAGAAGAGGATCACCGGCTGACCGACTTCCATCTCATTCACGACTTCATCCGACCGAAACTCATCCTGTACTGACACTCCAGAATGGATGCCATTGAAAACATCCTTGTCAGCTAACACAGACCAGCCACTCAACTGACGGAAGATCATGTCGCACTTGTCAACGACTCCACGAAACACCTCCTCGGTGTAGTAGAGACGCCGGCCCATGTTTGCCCACTGTTGCCCTTGCCCGGGGAAAACGAAGCAGATTTTGGGAACATCTGTGCCATAGTTGGATCCCGTAAAGATGCCCTCGCCGCTTCCTTCATTGATATGAACCTGCAACCTTTCCCTGAACATTTGACTTGAGTTTGCCAAGATAGCCAACTTACACTCATAGTGTTTTCTTCTTGATGCAAGCCAGGACACAACACTCAAGGCATCATTCTTGTGATCAAACTTCAACCACCTCCTGGCTAAATCGGTCACAGCATCAACAGATCTGGCCGTCAGTGGAATCAAGACATACTCTCCCTTTGATGAACCACCAAACCTCCATCCAGCTTGAGATCTCGAACCATGCTGCCTGTCATTACATACCTCATAATCAGGTGCCTCTCGTAATACCATATGGGCCAAGGCACCTGCAAAGCCAAAGCTATTCAAGCCAATGGTGAAGTTGGAGTTTGGTAATATCGGCTCAAGTGACTGCTGGATTTCTAGCTTCAGATTCTGGAGGTCAATCTCAGGGTTTATGCCCTGATAATTAATCGTTGGGCACAGCATTTTCTTGTCCAGCATGAGTGCAACTTTGATGGCGCTGGCGATACCCGAGCAGCACTCTTGGTGACCAAAATTACTCTTGACAGAGCCAATCTTCAGAGGTGCATCCCTGTCAAGATGAAAAAAAAATTAACCAAAAATAGAAAATGGTCGGACTGAACTTATCCCTCACCGGTAACATCTCGCAAGTCGACAAAAGATTTGAATCACAACGACAACAAAATGGTGAATGTAAGCATGACGAAAGGTTTACGGACTTAAAAGGAACATTCTCTTTTCTTCCGAATCGCAAGTTTACGTAAGTTCCACCATCTTTATTTTCGATCTCTACTGGATCATGAGGTGGCCTATTTGGCACTTTGGGGTTTGTTTTGGGGGTAAAATCTGATGGTTTTGGTGGGCAATGAGAGTGCGGTGATTTGTTTGGACTCCAAGGAAAGGTCTTCCTTCAGACTCTTCTATCACCAAATCATGACCAAATGTTAAAAAAGCCAGTTTGTAGAGTCCTAGTTACTCGGACTAGTACATGTACAGGAAATCCATAGTCCCTAACGTTATCTCTTAAGTGAACAGAATTTTCTGAGGGTTGATAAAGTGATATAAATGAAAACGAAGTGACGGATTGTCTATGGATTATGCGCACACGATAAGTGTCTTTGTGGTGCCACTGACAAAGTGTTACATACCGATAGGATGCGAAGGTAAGACCAATAGCCTTGGCTTCAATGGGATCTCCGACTGGTGTGCCAGTACCGTGTGCTTCAACGTAGCTGACCTCTGACCTATCGATACCAAATCGCTCATACGTCTGTCCCATGACATACTGCTGGGCTGTGGGGGACGGCATGGTCAGACTGTTATAGTTGCCGTTGGCTGCTATGGCTGAGCCATGGATAGTGCAATACACGTGGTCATTGTCTTGGAGAGCCTTGTCCAATGGTTTAAGTATCATACTGCCCCAACCTTCACTGCGGACATACCTACAAAACCAAATCCAAAATTTCTTTTGAAGTTTCTAGAGATTGATACAAAGATATATTGTACAACTATACCTCATACATATTCATGATCAAGAGCTGAATTCTCACTGGTCCATTCACCACCACGTGCCAGCCGCTATTTTTGTTGTTTACCATGTATGCACTCAATTTTCATGCAAAGGATAAATACGCATGCATAGTAGATAGTCCAATACGCATGCGCTTTAAGATGCAATTGTGGAACTTTCGCATGGGTGAAATACCCAAAACCGACACACTGAAAGATGGCGGCATGTGTAAATGTTAACCAGTGTTTTCCCGATCAATCATGCCAAACTGGAGAATATTGTGGACAACAAAGATGCCTCCTCTACTACAAAAAAGTGGTCCACAATGTGGTCGAAATTAGGTATAAGGAGTTACAGTATTACAAAAGAACTGAACTTTACTGAGGTTGAGTAATATTCTTCTGGTGAGCTGGACAATTTTCTCCAAAGATGTTACGCCAAGGTGCAAACTGCAACAGGCAAATTTGAATATGTATGAGGAGTTAAACGAATATAACATGGTTTATATTGGGTGGATAGTCCATACTAACTCCCCTCAGTATTGGAAATTGACAAACTAGTGCCCTTGGCTACGCCTCAGGAACTATAGTTTGTCTACTTCCAATACAGAGGGGAGCTAATATCGCCTATCCACCCTCAAGCCATGTGATATGTGTATAGCACCTCACCCACTGATTGTGACTCTTAATTGGCTGAGAATGAGCCACATGGCATTCGCTATTTTTACCGAAGAATACAACCACAATGTTCCTTGTCTGGGTAAAGTGTCTTGCCCAAGAACACATGCACCATGTTCACCTTTAAGGGTCGAACCCACAAACCATCACACAAGTCGGAAAATGTAACCACTGGACCAGGGCAATCTACAGACAAAAACACATGCCTAACGACAATGCTATTATTTACCCATTGGCTGATTTCGAGAACGGACAACTCATTCCGTCAGCAGACACTACTCCAAGTTGACTGAAGCCTATCGCAACCTCTGGGATCAATATGGCATTACATGCACCCACCACTGCAGTACTGCACTCCTTGTTCCACAGCGCTGATGCAGCTAGATGCAGCGCTGTCAAGCCGCTTGCACATGCTGTGTCGCACGCATAGCTTGGGCCCTGGTGGACACAAATTAAAGGATGAAATTATTTTTGTGATGGCTCTTACACTATCTGGCATATGTATATTGCTGTCATATCAAAGACAAATTGTATTTAAGCATCATGCATTATTTATCTGCAATTATGAACTGGGTACTTCATATTTTTTAACGTAATTCTCTAGATCTTGTTATATGTATCATGTTTTGGTATACTGCTGGATGTGATTTGTTGCATTTCATAGAGAATTTGCAGTGTTGTAGTACTCGTACTCGGTACTCGTACTCGAGTACTACTCGAGTACTTTTTTTGGAGTACTCGTACTTGTACTCGAATGTCAAAGTATTTGTACTTGAAATGACAGTACTCGTACTCGGGCAGCAAAGTACTCGTACACGACATGTCGAAATTGTACTCGATCATCAAAGTACTCGTACCAGACGAATATGGATATCGTGTAAAGCCCAGGCAACTCAAAGAGCTACATTAACATCGTTATGGGCTCCGTGCACATGTACCCCCTCAATGGTAATTAGAAAGGGAGAGTTGGGGAGACCACTCGGAGAGATATTCAAACGCTGTGCCAACAATGTCCAACACTCATGTGAGGATGCTATGGCTTTGGGCACATTCAGAATAAGATTAAATGTGCGTACTTTGCGCCATACGCGCATAGACCAGTTCCTGCACACAGTGTGTCCTGTCCACAGGGCTTTCGAGAGTGGTCAATTTGGTCACCACTCAAATTGAGAAATAAACTGCACTCAAAGGCCTGGACAGAATTTATACGTATATGGACTTGATTTTATCAGAAGTCAAATGGGTATATTGTCTCTTATCTTCAAGTAAACTTGAATCCTCGATCCTGATTGGTTGATCCATGGCAACAAGCCGTGCTACATATAACCATGTAGCACGGCCACGATCCGTACCGCGTTCTGTGTAATGCGCTATTCTAAGATGCGAGCGCCATTCCGTACAATGTGCACGTGTAATAGGATAACTGCTGAAAAGTTAGTCTAAAACTACAGAGTGCATGTTCCATCTTCACTGTGCGTCAAGTTTACTTGAAGATAAATTCGTTGTCCCACTTGCACTTATGGAACACTGAAAAGGTAGTGTGCCTGTGTCCCACATACAACGAGGCCGTGGGACACAGACGCACTCCATTATTCCGTGGTCCACTCGGGCTCGCAAGATAACTAATAATAAATCTACAACATACCTTGATATCAAAGGCAAAAGACAGCCTATTGGCCGCACAGCTGTGGGCGTTACCAGTCAGTACATAGGCATCCATGAGGTAAGGGTCAGTGATGTAGATGGAGTAATCAAATAAACCGATACCAACAAACACACCGCCATCGGTGCCTAGCTCATCCGACAATATACCTGAAAATACAAGTATGTAGTAGGAGCAAAGAATAATACTTTGGTCCTCACAAAGTTTAAAGTCTAAAACATGAACAATAATAATAATATTAGAATCAAATTGAATATGAACTGTAAACCCTACTTTGGCAAAATCATTCAGAAATAGAGCAAAATAACAAAAAGCAAATCTTACCAGCATCTTCAAATGCTTCGTGAGTGACTTCAAGCAGGTGTCTTTGCTGGGGATCCATGCTGACTGCCTCACGAGGAGAAATCTTGAAAAAGCTGTTGTCAAATGTGTCAATATCTGTAAAAACAACATACAAAAACAAAGGGTTTGTGTATGATTTGCTAAAAAAAAAAAAGGAGTGAATATACATGTAAAGTGAAATCACTGAATTCATCATCTTTAACAGATGGTGGAATACCGGGATGTTTGACTCGGGATAAACAAATCAACCAAAATAAAACATGAGATTTGGTATCCCACGGCACAGCAAATGACAACTACAAACTTAATTTGTCGGACGTCCAAAGACAATGAAAATATGTCAAGAAAGATTTAAAAAAACCCAGTTCTTATAGTCGTTTACCCTATTATACAGGGTGTCCCCCCCCCAAAAAAGAATGAACCCTCGAAGCGCGCTCTTTTTCACAGCTATTAATAAATACATCTGCAAATATGGATACATATTTGGAGAGTATAGTTCGTTAGCTGTTCAACATTAAAAAGTATCTTTCCAATCGGGTAAATATTTATGGAATTACGGCCAATTAAAAAAAAGTAGATTTTTCATTTTGTTCACAGCCTCAATTGTCATTTATTAGGAATGTAATGGATTTGCTATGAGGGTAGTTTTGCTTTCTTTAATTAGGTGTTGGGCTATGAGCCCAAAACCTACTGTTATTCTATGAGTTTACTATTGTTTTTGTTATTATTCTCCTCAGCAAATTCTTCTCCAGAACAGTTTGTCAAAATGAAAACATAGGTGAACTTCAATTGTCAATACATGAATGCACAACCCACTGAAGATGTGCTTTTTTGCAATGACGTCATCATGGGTCATGTGACGTCACTTCAAAAATTAATAAATTTATCTTTGAAATTCAATATAAAATCAATTGTGAGAGACCGGAACTTTAATTTTGCGGGAATCGACATGATAATACATGCTCTTCATATTATCTTGTGCGCGTAAAATCACGTGACCCTTCCTTCTGGTCGAAACCGGAAGTGCCTAATAATTTAAAAGTGAAAAAAGATATGAACTAGCTGTCAACGATTTTAGTCCGTGGGTGGGCTGACCGTTTCCAAAAAATGATCGGTGACGTCAGCAAATGTTAGAGCGCCCTCTAGCGGCAGGTTAAAAAACGTCAAAAACGCATTTTCACTTGACGTCTGTGGCGAAATTTGAGGTAATCGCTTCAAAATTAGTATGCATGATGACCTTAATGCAGGCGAGACCTGTGCGCGAAAAAAATTGATTACGTCATCAGACAGGAAGTTACAGTAAAAAGACCTTTAAACCTTCAAAAATTGCTAAAAAAATCAACAGTGATAGATAGAATCAAGATTTGGCTATATATAGCACAGTTAACATAGCTCTTGAACTTTTTGGTAATAACGTCACAATGACGTCATCAAGTATCATTTTTTTTGAAATTTTTCTTTCTTTATTTGGCTCTTTTTATTTTTCATTTTTTGCAACTATGGTAGTCCTGAAAAGGACTATTAACTTCTCAGATGTTTACTGTGCTGCTCTGCTTCTGCCCTCTATTAGGTAGCCCGGGCCCGTGTTCTTATTGCAGGAGTCAAATATCATTCCTAGTACCAGTTTACCAGTTACCAATCATATGACCTGAATTTATTCAGGCGTTGTATAAAACAAATAATGAGTTTTTCACATTTGTGCAATGATAAGAATTATTTAATTCGTTGTTTCATTCGGTGACAGATGGAAAGATGCAATGTTCCTTCCTACTTGGCTTTGCCTCTTGGAATGGAACATTCCATCTGTCACCTCATGAAATTATTCTTACCATTGCACTCATTAACATTCATTTATTTGTATACTCTACCTTTGATCATGCCGATCCTTCGCATGCAATGTTTGGCTGTCTGTGTGTGGTCAGGGTCGTGATAGTGGTCCACATTCCAACGCTCTGGTAGTATATCATCCACGACGTCCCGTCCATCTCGAATGACTCGCCAGAAATCCTCTGGATTGTTGACATCACCGGGCATACGACAACCTAACAGATAATGCCCAAACATGAAAGGCAACTTTCAGTTTGTTACTTTAAAGTCTCGACAAAACAAGGCTGAATTGTATGGTATGTTGTAGCACAAACTATGGGCTCTTTGCGCCAACAAAAGAGGGCGCCCTTTTACCTAACAACGACGTCGCATGGGCGGGACACATTCATTTCGCTGGTTGACGTGCGCACTCCGGTCCTTGTGTGTGACCAAGGGCGGATCCGGGGGGGGGGGGGGGGGGGGGGGGGGCCAAAGGGGGCCATGGCCCCCCCCCCCAAAACGAGACCAATTTTTTTTTTTTATGTGACATCGCAATAAAGGCAGGCAATGAGTACACCACCATCTTTTCCTCAAAAACATTGGTTAAAATTTTTTGGGCCCCCCAAAAAATTGTGTTCTGGATCCGCCCTTGTGTGTGACGCACGTACACAAGGGGATTTGTACTATGTACACGCAGTGGCCGCGCTTTGCAGCAATATATTACAGTCAGGCAAGATGGCGCCTTTTGGTCACCCCCAACTGTACTTTCTTTGCCGGTCAGGGGGTACTTGTGAACGGCGCAGATAGACTAATTCGACGATTTACGCCATTGTTACAGAGACGTTAATGAAAAGGCCTTTTAATAAACACATCAGGTTAAACTTTGTAGCAGAGTGTTGCACATAACAATGGTGCAATTTCTACAATAACCATACAAATCAAAAGTCTTTTTGTTACAAGTGAATTGAAAACTAAACTTTGTGGCTGACAAACCGTGGGGGGGAGGGGGGAGGGGAAGGGAGGCCCCCCAAAATAAAATTACTTAAAGAATTAACAAATTAAACAAGAAGAGGGATTATGAAGATGACTGTTTTGAAATCAATGTTGTAGTCTACCCATCCCTATACGTCCAAGGATTATCAAAATTTAAGGAAATGAAGAAAAAAAAAAGAAGGAAAACAAGAGCACACCAAGTGTCACACGAAGCTCAGCACCCCCCCCCCCCCACCCACAAGTGGGCATCCATTGTCTTGTTGCACTCCTGGACTTTGTATCCCAACAACCATCTGCAGGCACCCACCAGCATCTTACCCATTTTACATCAATGAGGTTTACCACAATGTCACGAATGTCATTGACAAAACGGAAGTTGTAATTTTTATTGGCCTCCTACGCTGATACAATCAATTTACTCCCCCCCCCCCCCCCGACATAGGCCCTACTTGAGAGCTATACCTGCAACCTCTCGTGAATCATATACTCGTAATATTAACACTGTGATAAAAATGATTCATAATTTTAGGTTTTGTTGTTTTTGGCTTCTTTGGTAAATATTACTGGAAACTTGCTGGTACTCTATTACTGTTGGGAGAATGTGATGGTCTGTTATTACTACTTAGGTGTTTTGTTGGTGGTTGGTATATTTACAATATGAGACCATAGTCTGAACAAGTCTTGAATGAAATGCAGCGTTATCTCTTCTCGTTGCTTTGTTTGTGCATAATCAGCAGACGCCATGCATTGTTGACTAATGGACACCGTGCTAGGGGTGTGCGTTGGAACCGGGTACCCGAGTACCCTACCCAGTTGCGCACCCAAGGGAGGGGGGTCTCGGGGGTCTTGAGCCCCCCCCCCCCCCCCCCCCCCGAGAGGTTGTCAATTTTTTGGGGGGGGGGGGAATTTTTTTTTTAGTCCCACGATTTTACATACATGTGGCCTATTTTCAAGTAGTATAATAGGGGTGTAAGTGGTTAGTGGTGCCATCAACGTCAAAATAGTCCGCCCCGAAAAAACCTCCATTTTTTTTCTGCGGCCAAAAATTTTGGGCAACATTTACAACAACAGAAATTGAGACCCCCCCCCCCCCAGCCAAATCCTGGGTGCACCACTGATGTTGGGAACCGGTTCCAGATTACGGGATCGGGGACCTGATTGGCTTATTAACTTCTCAGACAATGAAAAAGAAAGGTTTTTAATGCCCTATGTGGGATTTTGCCTTTTGCTGACATATTCTATAAACACTGTATACTCAGTGTTGTCCAAGGGCTTGTGAGGAAAAAAATCACAAGCTGACTTGGGTGGGACTCGAACCCACGACCTCCTGCTTATTAGTGCAGACGTCTTACCACTCGACCTCCGATCTGGCTAGGATCATTTTGGCAGTTTGTGTCTGCTATTGCAGTGGGTACCGCAACCAAACTTATGGAATTCTTGTCAGGAAGATATACATTTAATATTGCGTTTTGCTCTTTGACGAAGTATTATCTTAATCATTTTACTTCAGTAATATAACGCAACATAAATGAGCATCATTACCAAGGGCAGAACCGGAACATTTTGGGGGGCCAAAAAAATGTTGTGTCCCAAAAGTGGGTCCACAAAATAACGGCATGGAGTTCGGGCCCGCTTAAGGGCCCCCAATTTTTTCTGATTCTAGATGCACTGTGATGCAATCTGAGGTAATTTCTGACCACTTTAACCAATCCTTTTTTTAAGGACAACAGGGTGGTGTACGCAGTGTCTGCCTGTATTGTGACGTCACTTAAACACAAATAACAATTGGTTTAATTTTTGGGGGAAGGGGCCATGGCCCCCGTTGGTCCCCCCCCCCCCCCCCCCCCGATCCACCCTAGGTCACTACACACATATGGAAAACATTAACCCTAAAGGGCCGGGTTATTTTATTTTGACCAATTCTCAGCCGGGGGGAGGGGGGGGGGGGGGGCAGCGCGGGGGCGTATTCCGCCCCCCTAAGATCTCGGCCATCGAGTTACGACAAATTTTGAAACTCGGTACATGCATGGAGTAACTCTTCCTAAACATACCCAAGAAATTTCATGACTATAGGTTAATAGGTTTTGGAATTATGCCTAATTAATTATTCATATGTACGAATGGCGATTCTGCTCTGTGTACACGACGTATATGGGAAAATTCAGTTTTCAGGGCGCGTAGGGCCGGAAAATTTTTCGCTAAGCGGCAACCCGTTGTCCGATTTTTATGTTTTTGGTATCAAAGGATGCGCAAAGCACGAGGCTAAAAAGTCATAACAGCTCGGGTTGCGAAATTTTTTTTTTTAGAGGTTATCGCGGATTTTGCCCCCCCCCAGCATTTTTAGGGTTAAAAATATCATAATTTCATGTATTTTTCACATAATCAAGATTGTTGTCTGCACCAAGGCCAGATACATACAAGTAAAAATAAGTTGAGAGCGACTTACCGATGCCAACGACTGCTATAGGAAAGAAGTTTCCAGGAGGATCTCCATTTCCACTACTTGCAGCAGACATGTTAAGGTACTCTGTAGAAATATTGCTGAATTACTCACACGACCATAACTCAGACGAGTCCCTGTATTGTAATAACACATTATGAATTTTAAAGTTATATTGTCTATTTCTGAGCTGTCTTCCCCATAAAAATATCTTACAGATACAAGGGGCAGTTCCAATGCTAACTTCCACAGTGTCGAACATACAATTTGGACAATTCAACAGTGTGTATTTAACCACTTCGTGCTGGGATTATTTTTGCAGAAAATTTCGATTTTCGCAAGACAACATTTTCCAGCTAACTTCTGATATACAGCAAAATGCCACAAATACTGATTCGTAAGAGTCATTTCGACAGTATTCGTGCGATATTTATTGCCGAAACCTCATATGTTTCAATACTCTGAGGTGTGCACTGGAGCGTAAATTGTACAATAGGCCATGTACAACGGCCAATCAAGATCAACACACGGTCCGCCTCCACAGACTTCACAGACTCTGTGTGTGTGTACAAAAGGCACGAGGGATTAGCATGTTTAGACGTCACCCGGAGGCAAGTCAAGGCAATATTGACGGTTATACCCGTCAGCCGTGCCTGTGTCTTGGTGCGTGTCATCACGTCCTCTGCACAAACTGGTTGAGAAAACTTACAATCATCAAGTGCATTTTAATTCTGATGAAACGAAGTAGTAATCCAATAATGCTTTAAATTAAATTATTCATCCACCTTTTTGCTGTAGTAGAAATAGGTTCAAAACACCATGGTGTCCAACGTACTCAGAAAATTGATTTTTGTTTGGACTTAGTAATTTATTAACACCTCAACGATGGCTACAGTGCAAGCCTTATGAGATGGTTGATTCAAAAAAATAGTAGAAATTGATTACTTACCAAGATGTAAGCTTGCATTGATGGTATAAAGTTGCAAAGACTTTTGTGCCGTGTCGACCAGCAATGGCAGATGTGAGCCCACACCTACCGCCAAGCCTTATAAAGGTTCCAATGATATCTCTCGATGGACGCTCACACCCCCACTCCGGATACTATTTTATCAGTTATACATCTCTGCTGGTTGTTTCATCATAAAATCCATCATTTCGGTAACTCCCCTTGAATATGATTCAATCCTTCCATGTCACTTTTCGACAAAAAAACTTCGCTTTTATGAGTTTTATATCAAACTTTGGTAAACTGGACGTTTCCTGAGTCACAGTGGGTGTGTGATGAAATACAATGGTGCAATGTCAGGGCTACATGCAAAACTTAATAAAGTGTACAATGCATGTATGACACCGTCTTTCCATATGCCAAAAAAATTTCCAGATTATATTCATCACCAAGATAAAAAGTCCCATGGCGTTGCCCATGAAGTAAATATAAAGATGCACTTTATACTTTTTAAAATCTCAACTGGGTCAACTAGGATGAAAAACCTTTAAACTGTAAAGCAGATCTGTTTGTGCCCAAAACAAAAAGAACACTTTTTTTTCCCCAGAGGGTTGCAGAAGTCCAAAAAAAAGGGGGGGGGGAAAGGGATTTTTTTGGGTTGAAATAAAATATACACAATTGAAAATGTATTAATAGAAAAAAAATTCAAATTTGTTGAAAAGCAACTTTAAAGTTTGACAAGTCCTTCACCAAAACAAAACAAAAAAAGAAAAAGAAACAACAAGAAATAACAAACAATACAACATATTTCATATTTTTATTTGGTTACAATATTTTTATTTCACTGTTAATTATTTAACATAAAATTTCAAACAAATCAGAACATTGGGAAACTGACTAGTACTTTTGAACAAAGACATTGACAAAATGGGGAACTGTCAACATAGGGCTGGATAGCTCTGTTAAGGAAATCTGAAGGTAACAGGTTCAAACCCTGCAACAGTCAACTTCTTTGTTCAACTTTGAGGATGATTTCACCTTTTACATTAAATAATATAAGGATTGCAACTGGCAAGGGCGGATCCAGGGGGGGGGGGGCCAAAGGGGGCCATGGCCCCCCCCTCCCCAAAAAAAACGAAACCAATTGTTGTTTTTTTATGTGACGTCGCATAAAGGCAGGCAATGAGTACACCACCATCTTTTCCTCAAAAAACATTTGCTAAAGTGGTCAGAAATTGCCTCAGATCGCACCACAGAGCATCGAGAATCCAAAAAATTTTCGGGCCCTTAAGCGGGCCCCGAACCCCATGCCGTAATTTTTAAACCCACTTTTTGGGAGACAAAAATTTTTTTTCTGGCCCCCCCCAAAAAATTGTGTTCTGGATCCGCCCTTGGCAACTGGATGTCAATTTCAAAAGGGAAACTCCTTTAGTTTCCACTAAATGAAGCAAAAATCATTAGCCCAGCATTACATTTATCATAAAAATACTATACCTCATACATATTCATGGTAGTCAAGAGCCAAATTAGATTATATAACCGACATACATATCCTTGTCATTTGATTGGTGGAACTCACATCACGTGACATTCGCTATTACTCCCATTCATGCCGGGTCTCAAAAAGTACTATCCGCCCATGGGGAATGGGAAATACTACTTAACAGTTCAGATCATTCTTGTTCCAAGACGCGGTATTTGTGTGCAAAGGCATGCTGGTGTGCGCGTTCAGCGTTGCGCGTAGCGCGTATTGTTCCACAGAGCCAGCGCTACAGAGTGGGGTTCAAACATTTTCGTGAAAGGGTGGTTTGGAAGAGAGAAATACTTTTCCCATCAATTTTGTAGTGAAATAAAAGTTCAAATATATCAAATGACAAGGATCTATATGTCAGTTACATATAAAACAAATATTGAGTGGCTTTAAATTGTGAAATGGGAGGAATATTATCGCTCGGTAAAATCTGGACTTTTCCAGTTCACTCGGCCTCGCCTCGTGAAATGGAAGAGTCCAGATTTTACCTTGCCATAATATTCCTCCCATTTCACTCTGAGCCACTCAATACTTGTATACTAGCGCACAGGTCACCGCGCGCTAGTCTACTATGTACATGTATGTGCTAAAGCAAACGTGAAACTAGCGCACGGGGTAGTGAGCATGCGAATACATCACCCTAGCCCAGGTTGGACTCTGCTGTGTACACGCAGTCGTAATGCAATGAAGACATCGTCCAACCTGGGCTAACATCACCCCAGCTACATGAACAGATTTCTGATGCGTACCTCTACAAAATGTTGGTGAATATGTATGAAGTGCACATGTACATATGTACAGTAAAACAAATATTACATAGTTTATTTTGGGTGGATAGTCGATATTAGTCCCTTCACTTTTGGAAGTCCTAATGTAAAACAAAAGAAGTCAAATTGAGACATTATCTGGCAATAGTAGCCTCATTCATGTAGAAAGGTCTATACCCCAACATAAATTAGTAAAAACTCAACCACCAAAACACCAGATTTCACCCCAACACAGCCACAAAAAAGCCACAAAACTGCCACCTTACATGTCAGGATTAACGATGATGGTTCTTAGGATAAATGACACAGACAGAAATGAACTGTCCAATTCTTATAGCTCTGTAAGCTGCTAGTAGACTAATTAGTAGCAGACTGGCCACGGAACTATCAGTAAGCAATTTGATGTGAATGCTGCCACAGAAATGAATGCTTCAAGTACATGTACATGTACATGTAGATCTAGATGTCCGATTGTAAACAGAACATCTCAGGGCTTTTCTGCACGTCAATTTTTTTCTTTTCTAGGTTTATTTTTTGTCAATGTGCAGTCATGCAAATGATCTATTTGATGTAAGAACAAAGTTCCATGTGAATGGAACCTAATCTTTATGAAACTGCATTATTTATGCCATATTATAATGTCACACACTTTTTTTAATTCATTGATCATTATCACGACCTACCGAACTTGTTACAACTAGATTTTTTGTATTGTTCGCTAGATGCAGTTAAAAAATGTAAAAAAAAAAATAAAAAAAATAAACAGCACTTAAAACACCACATGATGATGACATCATGACGGCATTTAAATTTTCACCGATAACATGCCCCTGTCTAGGCACATCCCAAGTAAAATGACCTTTAAGATGACGTAACATGACCCACAATGTCACTTGTCATTGCACAAATTCACTGAAAACACAACTCATCTGTGGGAATCGTTATTCATTAACTGCCAAAATTTGGTGAGTGTGGAAAACCTTTGATATACAAACTAAACTGACAGTTTGCAATTATTTTGCTTGTGAAATGTATACATTTCTGGTAGTTTTATTGTCAATCATGGTCTTGTTGCCTTTACATGTGAATTGCATGTAATTGCATGATATTCATGTTGAAAATTATGTTGCTTTACAGTGACATCATTGCGACACAAGAAGACTTACTTTCACCTTGTGATGCTTATCAGGCAAGTGCAAGTAAAACACCTTTTAATTAAGGTACGAGTCACCTTTATATTGTTCTGAAATTGTAGTGTTTGTAATAAATTCATTGTGTCTGTTAACTGTTAAATCTGGTCTGAAAGTCTATGACTAGAATCACACAAATGTTCATTCTTTGTTCATTGTGATGTGCTTGACACTTTTTCTGGAGACATAATTTTGTAAAAATATATTTGACTGTTCACATTGAGATGTATTTCAATTATGATTCATTGATTTTCTTGTAGGTGTTTTACCTGCTCCCAAATTTGGTAGCCTTGCATTTTCGGTTGTATTTGCCCTTGCATTTTCGGCTGTACTTTGCCCTTAATTTCGGCTGTACTTTGCTTTGCATTCTACGGACCTATTGCAAACCGAGGCACTCGCGTACTGCGGGGACTGGCACCAGACTTGCCCATGACACAGCTTCCGCTGAAGATTTTACTGGTCGCATGAACCATGTTAATTCTCATATTTTGTTTGATGTTCTGATCTATTTCAATCGATTTACTCAAATCTTTGATGACAAGGATACATTTCTGCTCTGTGTAGGTCTTTTTGTAAACCTGCTAGACTTCATTTTGGTACCATTTTAAGCCAATTTTTACCGAAAATGCCAACCGGACTCCTTTAACATTGCAGATAAAGCATACCATGAAATTGCCCAACGAATTAGTTCCCGCCCAGAATGTGTAACATAAGGCAAAGAAGATGTGAGCAAAACAGCACGTTTGAAATCAAGACTTTGGTTGGAAAGTACAAGGGTGTTTTTAAGTCACTGGCTGGTCACCTGGTTCAA